GGCACATACAAATCGAATGCCAGGCATCAAATGCGGATCTAAGCCTTGTGATTACATGAGTAACTAACATCTATTATTTACTACTGTGTGTTATGAACTAGCCTAAGCAATTTAAATACGCTAATATATTTAATATAAGTGCATAACAAATATTTCCTTCTACTGAATTTAAACAAATCAATGGCACAGAATTTAAAAAATTTGACATGTAAACATTGTCACATTCCTGAAACAGATAACAACACCTGATAATTGCTTCTTAGGAAAGCTGTCCATTAGTAAGACCAGTCTTCAGCAAAACTAAAACCATTTAGTTTCTCTAGCTTTCTTAATCTGACATTACAATACCATCAAATCACAATCAAACACAATGAGAGCGAGCACTGGATGGATAGGTCATCACTGGTTACAGCTGCAGTTTCCTTCTTGGCACCACATAAACACAATTAAGCCAGTCACATCCAATAAACCATGGCTTTTTAAAATCCCAATTCACTAAGTGATGTTAACTGCAGTCCTCGTCAAATATATTTTGTTTGGTAAAGGCTATTTACAGTGTGCATGGCTTAGCATGCACTAATTACAAAAATACCCGCTAGTTTATTACCGTCTATATCTACTTCTGTCTTAGTAACTTTAAAGAAAAGTATTTCCCCCAACTTGCAGATGAGAAACATACAGGTTAAACAACTTCCCTTAAGTTATACTAGTAAGGGTGGTACCAGGATTTAGATCCAGGCAGATCCATAGCTTAAACTCCTAATTATTTCTCTATACTGATTTCTGTGTATGTGTATATTCCACATTTGAGTTACTGTCTCATTTTCTTAATTTCGTTTCTGTCACTCAGGGCTAAAAATGTATCACTGTTGGAACTAATCTAACACATGCCTTTCTTAGATGACTGCTGGTAAAACCACCTGCCAGCTCGTCTTTCTTTGTGGGCGCAGAAATCTCGATACACCAGTGTCTTTTTCAGTTCAACACTAAAAGGCAGTTCAGGTTAAGGTTTTAGAACGTATCAATTTAATACTGAATATTTAGAAATACGGTACACCCAGACACCACAGTAATATAAAATGCATACAATTTTAAATTACTTTCTTATGAACTCTTAACATGGATGGCTGACAGTTTCTACTAGATAAAAATTTGGACAAAAGTACCAGATTTTGGAGGGGTTCATTTTAAATACCATTTAGTCATGCAATTAGGTTTTTAAAAAAATAAATATGACAAATATATGGATTTCTGAAATATAAATTGACATACAAATCTATATATTTTCATAATATTTTTCATTAAAGTATCTTTAAAGAAGCATTCTATAACGTGAAGTTGAAAGTTCAAATTAAATGCAAGCCACAGTTTTATTAAAATTGTGTAATTCACATATCAAATATTTACATAAAAGTAAACAAAACTGCAAACAAGTTTGTCCTCCAAGTCATCAACCTCACAGATTTACTTACTGAAATAACTGTAGGATAAAGTTGCCAACTCTGCATGTTCTTAAGGAACCACACACAGGAGCAGCGTATGAAAACCTGGTCCTCCCAAGCAGCCGCGAAGGAGCAACAAGCTGCCCCCCGCGGCCTGTCCAAGCTTTCCCAGAACTCCAGGGCAGTAGATTCTTTCCTAAAACAGTACAACTGAAACTACATCCTGCACCAGCACATAAACCTATTGTAAGTTTTCTTTTCCAAACTCACATCTGCTCACAACTCTGAACCACAGGTTAGTCAACTGAAGTAAAATATCCCTGACCCTCCATTTTCCCCAAAAGGCGATTACAAAGGAGGGGAAAAATCATCTTTTTCTCACCTGAACAGCTTGAATAAATTTGTATTATGAGCTTAAAGAGAAGAAATAATCATCGTACTTATAAGTAAGTTTGTTGGAACTTAAGGTGGAATAAATACAGCAAGTCCTTGAGAAACATTTTGTTCAACATCCTTTTTGACGTTATAACATTGATGAGGGAAAAAAAATCGATTCCCAGCTGGGACCAGTGTGTGTGGAATTGACACATTCTCCCCCTGTCTGCGTGGGTTTTCTCCAGATACTCAGTTTCCGCCCACATCCCAAAGTTGTGCACGTGAGGTGGTGTCCACAATGCCCGGTCTGAGTGTGGTGCAGTGTAGGAGGGTTTGGGCCAGGATGGGTGCCTGCCTCGTGCCCCGAGCTGCTAGGAGGCAGCTCCATCCTCCCTTAACCTTGACTGGAATAAATGGGCTGGAAACTAATTTCCTTATTAATCCTTTTAAAAATACCTTATTTTTATCTTCAGGTAGAATGTGAGGGAGACAGAGAAAGAAACATCGGTATAAGTGAGATACATCAGCTGGTTGCTCTCGCACGACAGTAGAACAGTAACTCGTTTATATCAATTAGCCTGTGGTGAAACTGGTTTCATAAAACATCATTTCACTGAAAGTAGCAGTTTCCAAGAATCTACTGATGATGTGATGTGAGGACTTACTGTAGGTTATCAGATGAGTATATTTCTTAATGGAACTTAAAACAGCAAAACTTAATTGGGTTATATTACTTACTTTAAAAGTTAATACAGGAGAGATAATAGAATTTTTGAATATTAATTTAAAGAAGTGGCCATTAACTCTGACCACAAATTAGAATCACCTGGAAAACTTTTAAAAAAATGTAATAGCTCCAACCCTAAAAAAAATTCGGATCTAACTGCTGTGGGGTGGGCCCATATTAAGAACCCTCTAGATGATTCTAATATAAGTGACGGTTGCAAAACATTGATTTGGAAAAATTACTAATTTCAGGTTGGGTTTTATTTAAATGAATTATTTAAAATTCAAATATAGGAGATCTTCCTACATGGTAAGCACTGTTCTAAGTATTAATAAGGAGAAAATTTTTGTTCTACAAAAATCACTGGATAACATTAATATATTATTTATCTTTGAATAGTTTTATAACTTTACAAAAATATTACTCAAAGCTTTTACTATGGTCTTCTGTCATGAAAGATTTCCTTCCACTTTTCTGAACTATACTCACCTGCAACTATAACCAAAGAGATGACACTCAGAAACTTTTCCTCAAGATAACGTGGAAAGACCACTGAGGTCTTGTGGAAACAAAATCAAAATTCAAATAACACAGATTCCATTTTTCGAGTTGTAATGTTTGAGGTATTCTCCTCTGTATGCCTGGAGTCACAAAGTCACAACCTAAGAACTGAAACCAGGTGTTGCTTCAGTGATGAACGGACTCCAGCATCCGGCATGAACTGCCTCAGCGTCAGGACTGGCTTTCAATCGCCTGCAACGTCATCTGTGACACAGCCTCAGGGAACCTAGGACCACGGTCCTTAGTGTGGACCACATTTCTTGGGACCTATTTATAAAACTCTTCTTTTAAAAAGTTACAGGGATATGGCTTTTGAAACATACATAATTATAAATTAGTTATCTCAAAAGAAACCAAAATATAGTTTGTGAAATACTTCATAATTAGAATTTGCTACTATCCCAGGATGCTAGCTTTAACATTTTAAATCAACACCAACTTTATTAGGTATTATGAAATTCATTTGAAATGTATTTAAGTCAAGAAAAATATCAGACTTAAATTAATAAATTTGATTTGTATCTACTCTTTAGCCTAACAGTTTTCAGATTCAAATATGCTAAAACCAACAGACCAATTTTAGGCTAATTATCTTTTATAATTGGACAGCAGGCCAAAAATGGTGGAATTTTGGTTAAACCATAATACATACACACACAAGAAAATGCAAGAGTAATTTGTTTTCCATACTTAATAGAATTAAAACCACTTTAAAATTTTTATCAAAGCTCAGTAGTCAAAATAAATATTTAATAAAAATATACACCATACAAGATATTAAGAACTTAGTGTTTAAAAAGAAATGTCACATTGTTTACCTTCAGTTAAACAGAATTAAATTTAGTTGCTTAAGAAATTGAAGGATAATTGAGGTTTCTGGAAACAAAATTAAAATTCAAATAATACTAGAGAGATAACACTAAGATGGAGAAACTATGTTTTAACTCAGAAGTTTAAATAAAGTTACAGTTTTTGAGACTTCTTAATATGACTATGACACTAAGAAACATGAACAGTTTGGGGAGTGTAAGTCAAAGGTAATCATGATTGTGTGGTTCATGCTGTGAAATTCTCAGTATGTTAAAAAAATAAAAATACAGTATATGTGAGCACCATTAGAAATTTGTTATATATATATATATATATATATATATATATATATATATATATATTTAAAAGTTTACCTCATTAAAAACTGCATTTTAGAGTGAAGGAGAAGCACACAATTATAAAAATACATTCTTAAGCTCAGATGTCATATGACTTATTTTTAAATGTTTCATCTGGCATTCCTTCTAAAAATCAACAACAGAACACAAATAAAGTCAGTATTTTCTTTTTTTTAATCCTCACACGAGGATATTTTTCCATTGATTTTCAGATACAGTGGGAAGGAGGGAGGGAAGGAGAGAATCATCAATGTGAGAGAGACACATCGATTGGTTGCCTCCCACACAACCCCAATCAGGGCTGGGAATCGAACCCGCGACTCTTTGATCCTCGTGCTGATGCTCTAACTACTGAACCAAACCGGCCAGGGCAAAGCCAATATTTTTTTTATAGCAAAGTCCCTTAGTTAAACAGAAGGTCACTAAAGAAAAGAGAAAGCATTCAAAAGGTGTTTTCACTCCATAGCAAGATTTCAATAGGTAAAGGAAAAAGGAAGTTAGCTAATAAATGGGAATTCACAGACTGAAACAGTAAATCTTGGATTTACCCCCAAGGGATTATCATTCAGGCCTCAGACTATCTTTGAGAGTAGTCAAGAGTATTATTCTGATAGAAGAATTTTCCTTCTATAATAAGATACAAATTAGCCACCTATAATTTAACATTTCTGTTATATTCACCAAAACTCAGAAAACTATACCATATCTTATATAATACATACCCTGGGGTAAGACAGGTCTTTAATAAAAATCTCATTTTGATCCTATGTAGAGGCAGCTCATGATAGACTGTTACAAATCTTGCTATTGTCATAAGTAACCAAATGATATGGATTCAAAGTTCTTTGAAACCACCGCCACATAATAGAGTAATGCTATTCACCATTTAAAATACGTTCAATCTCTTCCAGTCTTTTTAAAGCAGCAACTCTTTTCTTCTCAATTTCTTTGATTTCTTTTGTTGTTTTGTGAGGGGTCTCTGTGTCTGTATTTTTTCCTAATGGTTTGCTGGGTTTAGACTGACTTTTATTATCACTTGTTTTTATTATCTGTGTGGGTCTGGATTCACTTCTTATTTCTCTTACATTCCCTGCTGGAATTTTGTCTCCGTGTACACCTGAAGTCTTACTAATTGGGAATATTGGTTGTTCTATTAAACTAGATGAGGAAATTTTATCCCTGACTATATTCAAATGGCGCTGGATATATTCTTCGTGTGGTGCTAACGCCAATGTTTCGACCAGGCATCTTTCAGCTTTTAGTAAGTCTTTCTCTTCAAAATAAACAACACAAAGATTGTGCTTTCCTTGCACATTGCTTGGATCCATCTCCAGAATCTTTTCAAAACATTTTTTGGCTCCAAGTATATCTTTCTTTTGATTCATCAGAATGTCTCCCTTTAAAATGAGACCCTTGATATGATCAGGATAGTATCTAAGTAACTCCTCTAAAACTGGCAAAGCCATTAATTCCTTTGCAGTCTGAGAATACAGCAGAGCCAAATTAAATAAAGCACTTCTGAAGTCGGCTTGTAATTTTATGGCTTTCTTCATCCACATCTCTGCTTCCGTGTCCTTTTTGTCATCCATGGCGAGCATTCCCAGGTTGAAGTAACCATTCGCGTCTTGTGGCTCTTCGTTTATGTAACTTAGAAGTCGTTTTCTAGCTTCAGGTCTGAGTTTAACCTCACCTATAAATCATGTTTTTTAAAGAAAAAAATTATACTGTTAGCAAATAAGTCGGAAGAAAAAAGCCACTTTCATATTTTACCTAGATTACAAAAAGAGAGCATCAAAACAACTAATTGCTATACCTAAATCAAAAAGCAGAAAGCGTTGAAACCTTAAAGTCTTCATAGGAAAGACAATGTGTTTGAAATACTGAAATGATAGCAAAATATTTCCTTATAGGTTAGAAGCTAACAGGGAATAACAGAGGAAGAACAAAGAATTAAAAGGAAGAGGCCTAAGATTTGCCAACAGACATGTATTCAATCTTAATTCTGCTAGCACTGTGACTTTATACATTGAACAAGTTATTTAACTTTTCTGGGTTATGAATTTTCTTAGAATTACATGAGATATATGTAAAAATGCTTAGAAGACATTAACTACTATTGGATAAACAAAATGTTTCTGTCTTACTAAGATTTTTGTGTATTACTTCAAATACCTTAGGATGTTTCAAAGGTAAAAATATACCATTAAATATAAAGTTTATAAATATTAATTAGGATTTAGTAAACAAATATTTATTGAGATAACTTTATTTCAAATAAATAAAAAAAAAAATCAAGTTCTCCAACTAGAAAGCTTAAGGCATACCTTGGGTTGTTGGATAAAGGGCCCTGTCATGACACTAAGATTAGCTAACTTTACAACAGTACTAGCTCTTCTTTAAATTTACACTTATTGAGTACTGAGCTAAAGACCTCCTCTATTCTTTATTTGACAATATGATGAATAAAGAAAACTTGAAAATAAATCAGTAGGCTTAAGTTTCTATCTTGGACTAATTACACTGGCCATATAAAATTGGGATAGTTATATCTATTTGGTCCTCATTCTCTAATCTACCAAAAAAGAAGATTGGCTAAAGTAAACTCGAAGGTCTTCTCACTCTAAAATAATTGATTTTATGATCTGTTCATATTTTCGCAAAAGTTTTAAAAAGGAACTAAAAAACACAAATATAGAGATTTCCCAAACATAAAAGATTATAAAATCATATACACTGTCTTCCGAATAGTACCAAAATCCCTATATATAAAAAATGCTGATTTATTATAATCAATAATTTAGTTTTGCTAAATCATAGAAATTATAGAAAATTACAGTAATACCTCAGAAAACAGTAAAACTGGATATAAAATAATACCAAAAGTATTTGGTCTTATAAATCAAAAGACAGAATTTTTTTTTTAAACATATAATTCTCTTGGCTTCCTAGAAATAATTATGTAAAGTATTTTACAAGTTCAGATTATTTGGACAATATATCTATATGAGATTATATTTTCATGCATGAAATGACAGAATAAATTAATAAGGCACTGCTTGACAGACTGCCTGAAAACTCAGTCTTAATATATACCAGAAGAACTAACAATTAGTATGTCTTATATGTTACTGAATATTACTTGAGAAGTTTACTTTAAGTATGTTAAATATTCTACTTATAAATCATCTATATAGTTTTGATATAAACTATCCATTCATAAAATGTTTGCTATAGGTAATATAGTTTAAGTTAAGGCTTTATTATATTTCAAATTACAATGTGTTTAAATATAGAAATATTTTGAGAATACATACCTGATTCTTGCATTAATATAGCGGAATTAAATAATGCTAGCTTATGCTTTGGATTTAGTTCTAAAGCACGGTTAAAGTTTTTTAGAGCTTCATTTGGTTCTTTAAGTTCAATATGCACAATCGCCAAGTTGTACCAAAGATCTGCATTATTTCTGTCCAATTCTAGTGCTTTAAGATATGCTTCTTTTGCTTTCAAAGGTTTATTCATTTTTAAAAGCAATTCTCCTCTGTGGAAAAACCAAGCACAAGCTTTACTTGCAACATTACCATGTCAGTTTGTTATACTATTTTTCACAAATTTTAAGTTTTTTCCACATATTCACAGCTTTCTTTTCCCTTTTAACTGTGGTTCTTAAGTTTTTTTCAAAGTAACCATTTGGCCAAAGTAATACTGAGGAAAAAACAAAAACCAAAACCAGAGGTATCACATTCTCTGACTTAAAACTATACTATGAAGTTACTGTAATCAAAAACAGTATGGTACTGGCAGAAAAACAAACACATACGCCACTGAAACAGAACTGAGAGCCCGGAAATAAAGCACACACACGGTAACTCATTCTGAATGAAGGAGCCATGAATACACAGTGGAGAAAGGAAAGGCTCTTCAGTAAACGGTGCTGAGAAAAGAAGAGCCACATGAAAAGAATGAAACCAGACTACTACTTTATACCACAGACAAAATCTGACTCAAGATTAATTAAAGCCTTGAATGAACCCTGAAACAATAAAATACATAGAAGAAAACATAGGTGCTAAACTTATGAACCTTGGTGTCAGAGGAGTTTTTGTGAACTTTACCCTAAACTCAAGGGAAGTAAAAATAAAAATAAAGAAATGGAACTACATCAAACTAAAAAGCTTCTGCAAAGCAAAAGAAAAACAAAACAAAACATCACATCAACAACAACAAAAAAGCAACCAACTGAATGGGAGAAGATATTTGCAAACAATATCTCCAAAATGGGCTAATATCCAAAATATATAAAGAACTCACACAACTGAAAATCAAAAAACAATGATTGATAAATGGGCAGAAAACGTAAATTAACACTTTTCCCAGCAAGCTACACAGATGGCCAACATCACTAGCTATTAGAGAAAGGCAGATCAAAAGTCCAGTGAGGTACCACCTCACACCTGTTAGAACGGCCACTATGAAAAAGAGGTGTGAAGAAAAGGGAACTCTCATACACTGTTTGTGGGAATGTAAACTAGTGCAGCAACTATAGAAAACAGAATGGAAGTTTCTCAAAAAATTAAGAATAAAATTATCGTATGATCCTGAATTCCTCTTCTTATTATTTACCCCAAAAATATGGCCTTGGCCAGTTTGGCTCAGCAGTTAGAATGTCGGCCTGCAGTCCAGGGAGACCGGGATTCAGTTCCCGCTAAGGGCATGTACCTCGGTTGCAGTTTGTCCCCGGCCCTGGTAGGGTCATGAGGGTGGCAACCACTCGATGTGTCCCTTTCACATCGATGTTTCTCTCTCTCTCTACCTCTCTCTCCCTCCCACTCTATCTGAACAATAAATGAAAAAATGCCTTTGGGTGAGGATTAAAAAAATATGAAAACACTTATCATAAAGATATCCACACCCCAATGTGCATTGCAGCATTATTTACAATAGCCAACACGTGGAAACAACCTAAGTGTATATATTACTCATCCATAAAAAAAAACAAAAAAAACCCAAAATACTGCATTTGTGACAACATAGATGAAGCTTGAAAGTATTATGCTAAATAAGTCACACGGGGAAAAAAATGTATGATTTCACTCATGCGGAATTAAAACAAAAAGTGACAAACTAACAAAACACAGATACAAACAACAGAATGGTGGTTACCAGAGAATAAAGAGGATGGGGGGGCGGGGGTGGGTGAGGTGGGTGAAGGGGTTCAAATATATGGTGATGGAAGGAACCTAACGTCGGGTAGGTACCACACAATAGAGTATACAGATGTCAAATTATGATCTTGTATACCTAAAATAATTATATAATGTTATGAACCAATGTTACCCCGGTAAGTTTAATAATAATAATATCTGAAATTGTTCTCAAACCTGAACTCATTAGTTTGGCATATTTGGCTTGATATATTTTCAAATATTATTCAAGAAGAAAAAAAGCATGCCTGACTTTAGAGAATAAGATGTGGGGAGGTATTCACAGAAAAAAAAATTTTTTTTGAGTATATCTTGAAAGGAGACACATTAGACTACTTCAGAAAATGACAGCAACCAGAGTGGGAGATCTATTTGTCAGGAGACCAGGTGATAGCATTTTAAGAAAAATAAATAAAAATAGTGAGGGGAAATTCCAGTATTCTAATCTATATAAGAAGTCTCACTATACAAAAAGTGTAGAACATCAGAAAACATTTAACTCTTCTTATAGTAATTTTATCTTCAATGTATTCTTTAAACATTTTAATTTTATTCTATTGAACATTTAGAGATTAGAGAGGAGAAGTGAGAGAGGGAAGGAGAGAGGGAGACAGAAAACAACAACTGGCTGCCTCCTACAGGCACCCCGACCAGGGACTGAACCCACAGCCTGTATATGTGCCCTGACCTGGAATCGAATCGAATCTGCCACCTTTTGGTGTACAGTACGGTGCTCCAAACAACTGGGCCACACTGGCCTGGGCCAATGTACTCTTATAAAATGACCATTCATTGAAAACTGTAATAAAGGATTTAAAAAAGCTGCTCTGGAAGGGCACCAGTGCCACCTGCAGACACCTTTCAGAAACACTCCTGGAACTGAGCATTACAATTTGAAAACTGTTTTACATATCTTTCTAATATGGTTCAATTTCCTGTTACAGAGTTTAAATTATCATTTTGATTAAGTACATAAATGAAAATCAATTTAAGTAATGATGCGAGAGTACTTTTATTACACTATTCTTTCTTAAAGTATCAGCACAGGAATGAAATCACATGAACAACTATTAATTTTCTTGATTAGGGAACTTATAGAAAGAGTGTTTGTCTAAAATGTTATCTTTTTACATAAAGGCTGTTGAGTAATTCTTTATGTGTTAACACTGGTTTTATTTACAGATGCAACCCCATTAAACCTAGGGAATTTCAAAAGTACTAGGTAAGGCTGAACTGCAACTAATGACAAGATCAAAAACATTAAATTCTGAATACATTTTCCCCATAAAAACTATGTCATAAATTATGATTAGATTTCTGGGTTCGGCTACAAAAGAAAATTTAACACACCATTTTCCTCCAGTATACTGCAAACAATACTTACATGGGAAAATATATCAAGTTAAACATGAGATACCAAAAACTTATTTTTACTGACAACTAAAAAGTTTCTTTGTGGTAGAGACATTAATAACCAGTTAATTCTTGGTATTTACTTAAGAAAGCTCCTGAGGGTTGGACATTAGAAGAACTAATAAAATTTAACTTTCAGGTGTTTTAAATAAAATGAATTTGGTGATAATAAGCAAATGAAACTAAGGATCTTCTTTCTTTTAACCTTTGTTTCATGTAAAACCTAACGTTTGCTTTTATAAGTTATGGACTCCTTTGTCAATTTCAAATCAAATCAAATCAATTTGTTAGTCTAAAATGGGCTATGTGTTTCTATGTTGTTGGCTGCAACTAAGATTATGGAAGGGAAAAAAGCTAACAATCAAAATATTCAAAATGTAACATGCAGATAAACAATAGCTTAAAGTGAACTACAATACCTGCTAATGTAAGCCTGCTTGAAGTCAGGTCTCATGCTTATCGCTTGTCGATACAGCTGATCTGCTTCTTCCAGTCGGGACTCATTAGCTCGGATCAGGTTGGCCAGATTAATATAAACATTTAGGTGGTTAGGGGCAATTCTGGCTGCATATTTTTTACCAGGAATAATCTGTTCAAAAGAAAAGGCATTTTCATAATTTGATATTTCATTACCAAATAAAAGTCAAAAGCAGGCCTAATAGCTTATTTAAAATATACACAGAATATAAAAAGATGTTATTAGTTTTACTGCTTCAATATTAAAATGTGAAAGCATCTATAGTCACAACATGTAAACAAAATAGTATTTTCTTGCACTAAAGGATGTATTTTTTTCATTCATTCCAGCTCAAAAGAATATGGTTAGCTTTTAATTTATATGTATCATTTTATGAAGTCATATAAATCAGAACTTTTACAGGTTAAGGTCTCATTTATGTCAGACCAGAAATAGAACTCAGAACTCCTTTCTCTGTCTAGTGTATTTGTTAAACCATGTCAACCTTCACGTAGTCAGCAAAATATGTTCTGGTTGTGACAAAACGGTGGCTATGTCATAGTTATACTGACACCTTACTTGTCTGGTGGAGTTAGGAAATAAAAGTATCTTATTAATTGGTTATTCAGGTTAAGTAAAGGTCATTATATATAATATATATGGTACAAATTTCAATGAACAGAATAAATTGTATCTGATAAAAATCTATACTGAACACAATTTAACTTTAGATTCTTAGGAATAAATTCTTAAGATATCATGTGGTTAACTCTGTTTTTAAAACATTTATCAAACTATGCAATCATTTAAATGTTACTACTATTATTATTATTAATATATATAATACAACTGAGAAAACTGTAGCCCAGGGTAAACTTTTTCCATGATGCATAGCTAGTCAAGGGCAGGATCAGATTTTGCAACTTTGAAGCTATAATGTGATAGCAAGTGAATCTTGTACTTGTCATTATAACTGACAGACACAGAGATGTATCCATTTTGTTTTATTCATTTATTTTTTGGTAGGAATAACGCCAAATTTAGTGCTTACTGTACATAAACACAATTCTCTTCATTTAAAGTAATTAAACTCACTGATATAATCCAGAATATAAAAAATTCTTAACTTTATGAATTTAATTTTTACACACTACACAATGTTTTTAATTGCACTAAAAAAGTAAATGTAATCCTTTATAAAACTTATACTAAATAGATGGTTCACTGGTCATCTTACTTTTATATCAATGAATTGAAGAAAAGGTAAGGATTTTCCATATAGATAATCTTATTCAATATGGATATTTAGTAGATGTGACACGACAGGAATAAATTTTGACAACTTACTTGAGGCATCAGTGACTTAGCCATCATGTAAGATTCTTCAGCTTCTTTGGTTCTATTTAAATTTTTATAAGTTCTTCCTACATTCATGTGGGCACCAATATCATCTAAAATTTTAAAGAAATTATTTGTTGGCAAATATAGTACACAGAGTTCAATGTAAACTACTAAGAGGACATGTCTCTAGCAACAAAAACACTGAGCAAAAAATGCAAAAAGGAGGCATTCCCCCTTAAAATTCTTCTAACACAACTTGTTATAATTTATAATCAATGCTACACTAGCAAATCATTAAATAAAGTACTGTAAAGACAGACAGTGCACATATAACATGAAAAATCTATTTGAATGGACCCTTTGCTGAATTAAGACATGAGAGGAAAGAAACAGAGGCAACAAAGAAATTTACATCATTTTTCTTCACTGTATTTTAATATACAATACTAGGCTTGCTTCCATTTCCTAAGCTCACAAGCTTGGAATTTACTCAAAATATGGCTCAACTCTGAAAGTAAAAAGGATCACCATAACCCCTAGAATCATTTCAAGTGTCATAACTAACAAATACGCACCCATAGTGGGACAGGGGCAGAGATAGGTAAAAACTTTGTGAGTTTATCTTCTAAGATTTTTGTGAATGTGGTTGGAATACAAGTATATTGGAATGTTAGGATTATATAATAATACTTAATATGTAGCAGCCCGTCTCTCTTAAATGATGATAAATTGCTCTATAATTTATTTAAAACTTTTTAAAAGGTTGTGTTAATATCAGAATGTCAAAAATTTGTCTCATTTTCTGATATAAAAAATCGAATCCTCAGCAAATTTATTCTGGAGCAGAAAAATGTGCAAATAGAATAAGGAAGATATGAGAGTTTATGATATATTTCCCAGTAAATACTTCAATGGTCTGGAATAAAGACAGAAAGAAGGCAGAAGATCTTCAATCAGACAAATTTTAGCCAACATGAATCTCTAACAGACATGACAAGGTTTCAAATTATGATTACTACTTGCCTGTGACACCGATGATTTTGCAATTGTGGAACAGGTCTCTGCCTGCAACTCCCAGGACACATGGGGGCCAAGCATATATATCTTAGGCATTCCCCTAGGAGGAGAGTAACAGTCCTAAGATCTTGCTACAATGTTTCAGGCTGGCAATTGTGTGCACTGCACCAGAATGCCAGAATGGTCAGTCAGATGCAGTACAGGTTTGATTGGGGAACTAGGGGACAAGATTGGGAGAAGAAAGTTGATTTCTGTTTTAAGATGTACTGCTGATTTTCATGGGGTCTCGGGGGTGGGGGGTGGGGTGAAGCCAAAAAAAATTATACTTAGGCCAGCCATTCCCAATCCTGACTGCTTTTAAAAAATTGATACCTTCGCCCCACCCAGCTCTATCAGATAGAATCTTCAGGAATAGAATATGCAAAAATGTTTTTAAAAAGTTTAAAAGTCAACTTTGATGTATACTTGTCTTGAAAGGTGTTTATGGAAACTATAATTCCAATTGCAAAAATTTTATCTTTGTGAACTGGGATTTTCTTAAACTACTGCAACCAACAAAACAAACAAACAAAATGCAATCAGTTGTTCATTTAACATGATATACATATTTCATGGTCAGACACTATGGTATAGTTTACATTCTCACTCTAGCTAAGCAACAAAAGCCTTTAGGCTGATTTTTTTTTTTTTGAAGTTAACTTTACAATGTTATGGATTCCTCTTCTATGTGGTGTTATGCTGCTCCAGGGTTTTAAATAGCATCTTTATGCTTGTAATTCCAAACTCTGTATCTAGCCTTGACCATTCCTCTTATCTCCACACTTACAAATCTACATCTGTATATCTACCAGAGAAAGAAAGAACCCGACTCTCCTCCCCGTGTGTCATTTCATTTGTCAAATCTATAAAGAACATAGCCAGAAAACAAAGAATAATCTGATAAGCCTCTTAATTCCAAATTCAACGTTTCTATGTCTATGTACTTCCTCATAATAAATTGTAATAAACTGTTTTCTTAGTCCACAGTTTTTAGAAACAGCAATTTTGAGAGTATGGTAGGGAAGTCATACTAAAGAAGACAGGTTCAGCAAGTATGTCAAAAACAGCAAAAAGTAATTGACAACGAAAGGAAAAATTATCTTAAAACTGTGTGCCCGTATATGGCAACATTCTGTGATACATATTCACTAAATAAAATTAACATGCACATATACACCCACCTACACCATTTAATGTACTCTTTGCAACAATGCAATTACTATCCCAACTTAGACATGAGAAAGATAAGGTTGAAGGGGCTTAAATAACATCTTCTAAGTCTCAAAGTCCTTGGTCTCTGACATCAAATATAACTCTGCTTCTCAGAAAACTCGTAGATGAAATCTAAAAGACTTTACAAAGTAATAAATTAAGACTACATGGTTAGGGACCTGGACTGTGCTATATACAGGGGGCATGAAAATGAACAAGATGTTCATGCTGCTCCTGGGGAGCTCCTCAGTTTAAATAAACAAATACTTTTAATAAATAAATATAATACAGTACTAAATAGAAAATTACAAATATCATAGGAAAGACATAGCAGTGTAAAAAAATTTAAAGACAAGCAATATTTGCTTGAAAATAACTAAAAATACAGTAAAATTTTTTTTTAGAAAAGAAGCCATGTAATATGGGTTGTAAAAGATGGGTAGGATATGGTACAAGGTGGATTGGTGGATGGGAAAGATGGGAGAAGCAAGGAATTCTAGGTTCAAAGAAGCAAAAAGGTGAGGACACACAAGATCTATACCCCATGTTTTGAGAAAAATCAAACTCCATTTTTTTTTTCTTTATTTATTTTAGAGAGAGAGGAAGGAAGAGGGAGGGAGATAGAAACATGGATGAGAGAGAACATCGACTGGCCACCTCCTGCATGCCCCCTACTGAGGATTGGGCCCACAACCTGGGCATGTGCTCTGACCGGGAATCGAACCAGTGACCTCTTGGTGCATGGCTCGACCCTCAACTAGCCGGATGAGCAAAATCAAACTCTGTAAGGAGCCAGGGGGCACGCAATTGGATAACTAGACTATCAGTGATAGTTCTATAAATTTCTCTTCACCATTCTCTAACTGAAATTTGGCTTTGCCTTGGGGAGAGGGTGAACATTATGGCTCTTGCAAGCAGTGCCTGTGTTCTGTCCTGTACAACAGTGGGCCTGGAGGAAGGGTAGGTGCTGTGTCCTGTCCTGTACAGCAGTGGGCCTGGAGGAAGGGTAGGTGCTGTGTCCTGTCCTGTACAACAGTGGGCCTGGAGGAAGGGTAGGTGCTGTGTCCTGTCCTGTACAACAGTGGGCCTGGAGGAAGGGTAGGTGCTGTGTCCTGTCCTGTACAGCAGTGGGCCTGGAGGAAGGGTAGGTGCTGTGTCCTGTCCTATACAAGAGTGGGCCTGGAGGAAGGGTAGGTGCTGTGTCCTGTCCTGTACAAGAGTGGGCCTGGAGGAAGGGTAGGTGCTGTGTCCTGTCCTGTACAGCAGTGGGCCTGGAGGAAGGGTAGGTGCTGTGTCCTGTCCTGTACAACACTGGGCCTGGAGGAAGGGTAGGTGCTGTGTCCTGTCCTGTACAGCAGTGGGCCTGGAGGAAGGGTAGGTGCTGTGTCCTGTCCTGTACAACACTGGGCCTGGAGGAAGGGTAGGTGCTGTGTCCTGTCCTGTACAACACTGGGCCTGGAGGAAGGATACGTGTCCTCCTTGATCCCTACCACCCGACCATTGCTTCTCCTTCTTACAATCAGTCATCTCTAAATTTCAGGTCACTAAACTCTATTTACTGTATCTCCTGTGCAGTCACCAATCTTTGGGTCACAGCTCCTGGCTCCTTGTCATTCTCTCCAACATTATTGTTGCCAAAATTCTTACTGATATCAAAATTTACAGATAACATCTTCTACCATGTGGCCTTGATGTCTTTTCTTCCAATGATTTTCACCTCCATCTTCCTTTAAATAGTTACTTCACTGGCCACAGTCAAATCTAATAGAAAAATAGGGGGCAGTGCCCGCCACACCTTACGCCCCCAAGGACATATGGGAAGTGTGTGAGTGGAAGTACTTTTTAGTCATCATTCTGAATGGAAAGTAATGATGGCATTTGGTGTGTGGAGGCCACGTTTGGTATAGATCCTGAAATACAGTTCTGCACACTTCAACAGCATTCCTACTAAAAAACATTCATACTCTGGCTAGACTCTACTCAGACACCAACAATTTTTCAGGTCTATAAACTTATCACTTCTCCTCCATTACCTCCCTTTGTCTTAACATCCCTCCTTAACGATCTTAGATTCTTGTGCCATTAATATAATCATCCCCTTATCCATTTTTTGTTTAGTAATACATATGGCAAAATCCTAATCCCATTTATCTGAATTCTCCATGCCCTACCACTGCAGCTGCAAAGCAGTAGGAGACAAGTAGATCATCACATCCACTGGTTTAATTTTAATTTCAGTATTCCTAACTCAAGTAGGGTGTTACAGCTGCTTGGCAACTATACCACATTTCCCTAGGCTATCCATTTCTCTAGATTTTTGTTTCTCAAAGTGTGGTCCACAAGCTAAGCATCACCTGTAAACCTAATAGAGCTTCCAGTTCTACTCTAAACCTTTATGTATCAGAACAAGCACCACACACAAGCTCTCCAAGTGATTCTCAGGCACATTCAGTTTGTGAAGTACTAACCTAGGAAACTGCTTCACAGCCTCTCCTATTTTTAAATCTCTAATACTTCCCGTCCCTTCCTCACAATGTACTGATTATATTGTCTCCCACTTCACTGAGAAAACAGAAGCAAAGGGCAACTTCCAGAAACTTCCTGCATTTCATCTATTTACCTGTCCATGTCCTTACACTCTGTTTTCTTTCCTGTTACCAAAGGTTAGCCATCGGTTCTACAATGGAATCAAGTCCTCACTTAAGGTTTGATCCCCAGTCCTGGTTGGGGTCGTGCAGAAGGCAACCAACTAATGTGTCTCTCTCACATCGGTATTTCTCTCTCTCTCTCTCTCTCTCTCTCTCTCTCTCTCTCTCTCCCCATCCCTCCCTCCCTCCCACTCTGTCTGAAGATAAATGGAAAAATATCCTCGGGTGAGGACTAAAAGAATAAAAATAAAGAACCATGTTGTCTGGAAAAAGTGACAATTTCATTTCTTCATTGCCATTTGGATACCTTTTATTTCTTTCTCTTACCTGATTACCCTGCCTGGACTTCTAGTACAATGCTGAGTAACAGGGTTAAGAATGAATTTTTCTAGTCTTGTTCCTGACCTTACAGGATAAGCTTTTGTTTCTCACCACTGAGTATGATATCAGTGGAGGATCTGTCATATATGGCCTTTATTATGTTGAGATACTTTCCTTCTACATCTATGTTGGAGAGGGTGTGGAGAAAAAGGAACTTTCACATTCACTGCTGGTGGGAATGTAAACTGGTATAGCAACTGTGAAAAAAAATGTGTAGGTTCCTCAAAAAAATTAAGACTAGAACTACCAAATGACCCAACAACCCCTCTTTTGGGTGTCTTCCTGAAAAATTTGAAAACATGTATGTGTAAAGATATATGTACCCCTATGGTCATTGCAGCAATGTTCACGGTGGCCAAGACACGAAATAGCCAAAGTGTCCTTCAATAGATGATTGGATAAAGAAGATGTAGTACATACATATATATACAGTGGAAAACCACTCAGTCATAAGACAAATTACTGCCATTTGTGACAACATAAATGGATCTTGAGAATACTGTGCTAATAGGCAAAATAAGTCAGAGAGAAAAAATCAAGAGCCATAAGAATTCATTCATATGTGAGATATATAACAGAGCAACAAGCTATACTTTTCTTGGGGTTGGGTTACTGACCAATGAGTGTGTAAAAAACAAAAACAAAAAGCCCCTGAAAATCTGCAAGCAACAAATGAGCAAGACAGACAAACCAACAAACACTCCTAGACACAGACAACAGTATAGTGGTTGCCAGAGGGAAGGGGGGAGGTGGTAAAGGGTAAAAGGTGTCAATACATGGTGATAGAAGAAGATCTGACTTTGGGTGGTAAACACACACTGCAACATACAGATAATATTATAGTAATGTACACTTGAAACCTATATAACTTTATTAACCAATGTAATTCCGATAAATTTAGTAACAAAATTCCTTAAATATCTTATATAAGTATTTCTAACAATTAATCAAATTCAAAATAAGCCAGCATTAAACACTGGTAGTATTAAAATCACTGGACATAAAACTTGAACATAAACTCTACTATATTGTCCTCAAATGTAATCAAGCCTTTAAAAAGAAAGTATTCAAATAGTTTTATTAATTAATAACGCATACCTGGCTGAACATGGGTAGCTTGTAGGAAGTATTTCAAAGCTCTCTCAAAGTTCTTTTCATTTTCCAGAGCATGGCCCACATTATTCCATAATTTGGCATTATTTTTATTTACCTTAAATATACAGACAGAAATTAGTTACAATTTAAAAAATATGACTCCAATTAACAAAGATATTTATTTGATATACTATTGGGAATGGAGTATTCTGTGGAGATGTCCACAAATAGGTGAAGGAGGTCAGTAGGTACATACTTCCAGTTACAAGGTAAGTAAGTTCTGGGGATGTAATGTGCAGCATGGTGACTATAGTTAACAATGCTGTATTGTATATTTGAAAACTGATGAGAGAGGTCTTAAAGGTTTTCATCACAAGAAAAAAATCTATAAATATGTAAGGTGACAGATGTTAACTAAACTTGTGGTAATTATCTCATAATACCTAAGTATACCAAATCAGTATGTTATATAGAACTTAAAATAATAAAAAGTTTGTACCAACTGTATCTCAATGAAACAGGAAAAAACATCATTTGGATTTACTTCCAGGAAAAAAAAAAGTGATTGCAATGAACACAGATCTATTTGGTACACCACTGGGATCGGGTTCCAGGGACCCATCTCTGGGGATGAGGAAGAAGCCAAATGAACACTTCACCAAATGCACCCTCTCCCTCCTTTCCACATCAACATACTAAAACCACAGCAGTCTCATTTCATCTATTTTATATATTAGAACTTTATTAAAAATTTTATTTGATCAAAGCATAGTGCTGTTTGAAAACTCTGCTCTATTACTTGCATTCTTTTGGGAGAAAAGGTATTTGAATATGAGAATACGTTTAAACATTGCATTAATTACTTATTTTTAGGCTAAACATAAAGCTATTATGTAGTCTATTATGTTAACAGGAAGCCTGAGATTAGAACTCTAAATTGTGCTTTGACAGGTCACAGATGGGCCTGTGGTTTGGAGCATTGTCCTGGGAGCAAGGACAAGAAAAAGTCCTAAATATTACAGGGCTCCACTAGTAATCTAGAAGAAGGGTGAACTAATAATAATGGTAATGAGGTCTCATCTGTTTGCAGATTTCTGAGCTAAGGGAGACAGTGGAGTTAGTGAATGGTACAGGAAGACAGTCATCTGCTCTTAAATAGATGTCAAATCAAGAGGTCATACAGATTACTGAAATGAGGCAGTGAGCCAATAAAATTAGACAATGGAGAGTATTGAAATAGCCAAAAGGAAGTTAAGAACTTAGAGATTTGAAGAGTGGCATTGGTAAGGCAGCACCTGAAAAAAAATCTTTGCTTGTAACTTTTATAGAAAACAAGTCACATGATTTATTTTAAATATGTTTTTATTGATTTTTTTTAGAGAGGAAGGGATAGAGACATCGATGTGAGAATCATTGATCAGCTGCCTCCTCCAAGCCCCATACTGGGGATCGAGCCAGCAACTCAGGTATGTGCCCTGACTGGGAATGAACCAGGACCTCTCAGTCCCTGGGACAACCCTCAATCTACTGAGCCACACCGGCCGGACAAATCTTATGATATTTAAAAAGACCTCACTCCCATTTATATTGTCCATTCCAGAGAAGCAGGAATCCTGTATCAATCCTTTCTGCCAGTTCCTATCCTTCCTGTAATACTGTAACCAATGGCTGGTTATCTTCCACACAGTAGGTTGCCATTTTTTGCCATGTATTTTTTTTTTCATTGAATCTAACATGCCATCAATTATTAAGACTCACCATTGTTTTCTGTACTATTAAGAAAAAAAAGGTCACTAATTAATGTTAAGATGTCCTTCACTGTAAGATCTAATTTCAGAGTTGTTAAAAGGCTAAAAAATGTGTACCTTAAGAACCAATGCAATACAGTATTCTTATTTAAACATTTTATCATTTGAGTTTCTAATGACTGTATAGCATTTAGGAAATTATTCATGTGTGTTGTAGACATACAGGTTAAGCACTATTCAAAGCACTGGTTAATGTATATATATTACACAAAGAACAAACATTTCATTAATTTTTTTGGTCAAGTACTTAATATTGATAGTTAAATGTCTAATTAAAAGCAAAGTTAAAGCATCTTAGACATGGCTATAAAAAGTAATTGATGATGACCTGGCCGGTTTAACTCAGCAGTTAGAGCGCCGGCCTGCGAACCAAGGAGTCGCGGGTTCAATTTCCAGTCAAGGTCCATGTACCTTGGTTGTGGGTTCGATCCTAGCCCCGACTGGGGTGCGTGCAGGAGACAACCAATCAATGCATCTCTCTCACATTGATATTTCTCTCTTTTCCCTTCCCTCCCCGACACTTTATCTAAAAAAACCCCCAAAAAACGTAATTGTGACATACTTTCCTGTCATTCTGGATAATACTTTACCTTCAAGGCTGACATAAACAACGTATATTCAGACTCCCAATCCCAATTTCTGTGGAGTGTTTTTAAAGCATGAGTGAATACCACCAAAGAAAGACAAATCCAGGATAACTTTTTAAATATACTGTTTAAGAAAAAACAAAAGAATAAAACATGGTTTATATCACCAAAAGCATTTTATCTTTTAGAACAGAAGAAATATATTAAATATCCCCAATGTCATGTCTGAATTAACTCTAAAGAATAAGGATTGTTCTAATAATCATCCTACTTCAAAGAGACCAACACCAAAAACTTAAATATCTGAATACTACCTTTCGCTTCAATCTTTGATTACATTAACTATTCTAATTTTTACCTCTACTTCCAAAGCTTTGTTTAGATTTAATAACAAAAAGTTGATAAAATCAGCCTTTTAATTATGACTTTTTATATTTAGAGTCCTTTGTATAATTACCTACAACTTGAATATTCTTACTTGTGTTTAAAAATGGTGAATCTTATCACTGGCTGAATTTAAAAGATTTCTCCTTACAATCATATACCACAGATTATCATGACATTCTTGGAATTTTACATTTTAAAGTTAGAATTGTTTATTAAAAGTCATAATAAACTTGACTTTTTATAGAATGCAAATTACTTATATACTTCAGGGTAATGACTCAATTCATCATCTATAAAAAGATCATTATACTTCAATAATCCCTATGATCTCATTTAGTACTAATGTCTCTAGGTCTGTGTTTCTGCTCTGGTAACAGAGTTCAATTTCTTTCAATTTGATAGATACACTTAACCAGAATAAGAGTACATGGATCAGAAAGAACATGGACAAAGGATATAGTCAGATGTACATCAGAATCAAGACTCCGCTATTTACTAGCTGTGTGATCTTGCATAATTCAGGTAACTTGTATGATCTTCAATTTTAAAATGTACAAAATAGAGTTAAGGAGTGTCAAGATTAAATGAAAAAAAAAAACAAACAAATCTAAATCTATCAGGGCATCTGACACATGGCAGGCACAGTAAAATATCGGTACTGATTATAATAAGATGTATGGGTCAAAGCTAGTAAGAGAGAGGGTTTGGTAGATAGAAGTGAAAATTGTACACTAGATGAGATCCACAGAGAACATGCAGTGTGAGAAAAGTGGCTGTGAGTAAACCCCTGAGAAATAATAAATATTTAAAGAGCAGGTAGAGGAAGGAGAAATCAGAGAGAAAGAGCAGAAATAAACAGATGTTGAGAGAGACTTTTTACAGATGCCTAAGAAATAAATTTTCAATAAAAGCACTGACTGAACTTAGCTGCCAGGAGGCAGTTTATCTGTGTTACTAGATGACATAGAGAAGTCCGAATTCTGTGTGCTGAATGGTGGCTGGACATGAGAAAGAAGGCAGTGACCATTTCTTGTATATATACCGTTTGACTCTTGTTTCTTAACTGTTAGTTTAAGGCAATGAGGACATGGTGGTTATGATGAAGACAGTAACAAGAGCAAGAAATCATAGTACTCACAGTTGTGAGTAAGCAAAACTGTTTATCCCAGCATTATTATTTATAAATTATTGTATTATTTTCCATACGAACTGTAAACCTACTTTTGCCCTCCTGTACATTTTATACATGACTATGAACTAAGCATGACTCACTTAAGACAAGACTATTAAGTTAATTCATTGCATATGGAGTAGTAACGGTCATTAACTTTAGTCTCAATAATATATCCTTGTTTTCATTTGGGTCTGACTCAAAGTTTATGTGTCAGGCTGTAAAATAAAATTATATAAATATGAAGACCATAGTAGCAGTAGGTGCTATGGGGATCTGCTAACCTGAATTACAGAAAAATGAGACCATCAAGATGGAAAACAGAGAGGTATAAAAGTATGACTTACAAAACTGAACTAAATGGATATTTAAGTACTTAAATGTATCATATTTGATCTATAGTAAGCATGAAATAAACTAATATTCAAATTCACCTTTTATTTGATATTTTGTGCCATCCATGGGCTACCAAAATACAGAACCCCATGCTAGGAACATATAATACTCGCTCAGCAACAACAAATCCAACTGGAAAAAAAAGGTTCGATGCAGGAATAAATGGTAATGCCATTAAACAAAGTGCCTACAAAGAAAAACAAGATATTAAATTAAAAAATATATGAACACTCAAGAGTCAGATCAAATCTTTTGTCAATTAATTTGGAAATGTACCGGTGAACCATTATTAACAATATTGAAAAGAATTAATTTAAACTTAAAGAAGCAACTTAGGGATAATAACAAACAAAAATGTATGTCAACAAGGTGAGATGACGTCTTTTTGAATGTTAGAACATATAATTAAGGTTTATCCAAATGAAAAAAAAAGTATATTCTGAAGATGTATCTAAAATAAGACATTGATGATTTTATACAGGTAACCAATGTGCACGTGGTAATCTGACAGAGAAAGACGTTAATAGGTTTTAACAAAATCAAACCACAAAGGCTGATCAAATAGATAAACATGCCAGTTTTTATGTTACTATTTCAAGTAACCACCTATTGGAAATTGCAAAGGTATGTTTTAGACAAGACGGTAGACTACCATCCCACTTCTATACCTTGGCATTACTCTGCATTTTCTGACAAGTCACATACATTTCACATAGGCTTAGTGTATGTTTAAGAATAAAATTGCCTCTTTTTAAAACAAGAGTCAGTCTTTTTTTCTAAGACTTCTAGGAAATTCTAACAAGAATTTGTAAAATTCTAAGGGAAATAAACATCTCAAAAATGTTTGTTTTTTTTCATTTTGAAAATGAAATGGCGTATGGTTTCCGGGTCATAAAGCCATTACAAAAGGTAGGACACAAATCACTAGCACAGGAATAACTTGTGCTTACGGAAGAAACTAAGGTAGCTGTCATCAGAATGTCTGTTTCTATGGACATATGCTTCCATATTGTTACCCTGATGTTTTACAGCATCTAACTGAATAAATAAGTTGTTCCCTCACCTTCGTAAGTTTGAGAGTCTTCTGACAGGTAAGAATGTCTGTCTTTATTAGTAAAATATAGATATAGACATGTTTATATATTAAAAAGAAGACTTTTTCCACGAATCACAAATTAATGACTTTTAATGAGGTAAAGCTGAATCTGAAGAAAAGCACTACTGTCACACTGCTCAGTATAATAACAATTTATGTATCTGAAATTTCTCCTTAATCAAAAAAGTTAAAAAGTTGCCTTCTTAATCAAAAAAGTAAAACACTAAGAGTGCATAGTACATTTGCATTTCCCAGTAGTGCTTGATAAAAATAACCAGTTACCTGTGAAAGAGAGAGATTCCTAAATATGCAGTCCTTTTTGGGGGGAAATATTCCCTATATTTCATGGCTGCCCTAAAGCTATTTCATGTGAAAGAATTATAAATTTTAAATTGACCTAAAGATGCACCACAGACTGATACATAAGATACACAAAAAAGAAAAGCAATCTCCCCAAGAATCTATTGATTTAGATAAGGAATGTCTCCACTACAGCTGTCCCTCACCACTCCACGCATCGACTTCAGTGGTTGACTCTGTTGTGGATTTTCAAACACTAAAAGACCGTGATAGAGTGAAGCTGCGAAAGTCCAAGCAGGAAGTGGTGAGGGATGACTCCGTATAAAGAAAGAATTCTACTTCGCAGAAATTCATTTATCGCGGTAGAGTCTGGAACTGATTAACCACGATAAACAAGGGCTGACTAATTATTAACTTGGAAGTTCTAATACACTATTCATGTACCCTAACCTAGTTCACTATGACTAACATAATCGCCTCCTTCCAGTGATATAAACTCTCTTTGGGAGAAAGAATGGCAGTGGAAAGAACAAAGAGTTTGGAGACAAATCTGTGTCACTTGTTACTTCCTATATAATATAAACTAATCAACTGAATGTTTGTGAGTGTTTAGAAATAAAATAAAATAACTACTTACATTATATTTTTGAAATACTTATGACATTTTATTTAATAAGTGATTAACATGGTATCTGGTAACTTGGTAGGTACTCCTTTGATCTACTTATGCCTTCCAGAGAGCTTCAGAAAATATCACCATAAAATATAACATGTTTAAGACTATACTCAAAACTTTTCCTCTTTCATACAGATAAAATAAAATTTATATAAGACAATGTTTATTTCATTGACACTCTCCTTCTATTCAGCTTACATTATATATTATATCATTCTTTTATTTGCAAAATCTTCAAATTCACCTCCTCCTCCCTTTTTACCTTTCTTTTAGCAGAACCTAAGCTCTGGATCTATCTACCATATATCTGCTTTGTCTGTATTTACCCGAGCAACCATCACTACTAGAGGCAGTTCCAAAGCAGACCAGATTGGTATCATCACGACTGCATGCCCACCGACTTCAAATTGGTCCTGAAGACTGCTCAGGATTCCCAGGTTTCTTTGTAGGTTTACTCCCAACTTTCCTCGACTATATTGAATTTTGATTACTTTCCTTAAACTTTTGACCCATGTCCCTTTTAGCAGGTGACCACACTTCCAAGCTTAGGGAGAAAACTAAAGCCATAAAACAGAAATTGCTTCAATTCCATGCTACTAAACATACAAACATCCACACACATTCATACTCATTTCTGTAAAAAGGTGTCTCCATTAATCTATCTCAGGCCAAACCTGAGGTTTACATCCCCTTGGATCCTCACAAATGTCACTATAATTACCCCTTTTTTCATTTACTCAGCGACTTTCTAATCAATTGTATCCTTCCTACCTATACTTAAACATGCTCTTACTTGCCAACCTTAAAAACATTCTCCTTTGACAACATATTTTTAATCTACCTTAACTATTCATTATGTTCCTCAGGTACAAAACAAATTCCCACTGTCTCAGGAAAAGACTTCTGCAGCCATGGTAACAAGCAGCTGATTTTAACTGTGTTTAATCAACATTTCAGCTCAATGAATGTTTTTGTAAGCTGACCCTTCAGTGATATATCCCTTTGCTTCTAAAAGTCAGCCAATTGAGTATTACAATGAAAGTGATTCTAAGTGTCAATCAACCAACAGTCTACCTCAGCATCAACTCACTCCCACCTCTAAAGGCCCAATTCTAAATCTCTGTGCTTCCCTCAAACCCTACAAAAGATTAGCAGTCTGTGGTGCTGGAAACCACTGCCTGACTGGCACTACTTTCTTACTTAGGCAGGCAACAATTAATTTCAAGCTTGTCTCATTCAAAGTTAAATTACCCCAGCAGGTTATCTACACTAGCAATCCTCACTTCCTCATTTCCTAATCAAATCACTCCACAGAAATAAATTTCACTAAAGTAACTAAAAGAGGTCAAATCCAACTTTTCTACTACCTGACAGCACCTGTTAGCATTAAGCATTCTGTCGTTCTTGGAACACTTTTCCTACTCTTCTGTCCATTTGGTCTAACTCCATTTGGTCCATTCTCCTCTACACATCTAAATGAGAGAAGTTCTCAAAACCGAGTTGTAGGCTTCTTCTTTCACTCTATTCAGCCCCTTCACTATTTTCTGAAAGAGAATTACGACCAAATGCTCTAAGGCATTCATCATGTGCATGAATGAACTTCTATTCGATGCATGTAGAATGGTACTAGCTGGTTATCATCTTTGAGAAGCGTGACAAAACCCCAGGTGAGAAAGGCTGCTCTATAACCTCTGTGTAGCCTTCTTAGCCACATCCTGCTTTCAAGTACTGTCTCTATGCAAATCGATCAAATTTTTATCTGTAGCTTAGGCTTCTCTGAACTTCAGGTACAAAGTGATTTTCAAAATCTTCACTAGACTAGAATGTTTCAAAGGCACCTAAACTCATCAGGTCCAAAGATAATAGTAAATTTAATCTTTCCCCTAAACCTTATATTCCATCAATCTTCTCTTTTAATTCAGAAATTGGCTTCAAATTTCTCTATAATAAAATTTCCCTGGAATGAGGACCTCATATTTCTTGTTATGATCATATCCTTAGTGTCTACATGCTGCCTGGTACACAGGTTACAATAAAAATTTTTTATTCAGCCCTGGCCGTTTGGCTCTGTGGTTAGAACATCGGCCTGCGGTCCGGAGAGACCCGAGTTCAGTTCCCGCCAAGGGCGCGTATCTCAGTTGCGGTTTGTCCCCGGCCCTGGTTGGTTGTGCGGGTGGCGACCACTTGATGTGTCCCTTTCACATTGATGTTTCTCTCTCTCTCTCTGTTCCTCTCTCTCCCTCCCACTCTTCCTGAACAAAGGGTGGAAAAATGGCCTCGGGTGAGGATGATAAAAAAAAAAAAAAAAAAAAATTTTTATTCATTAAATAAATCTAGTGGCTGCTGACTGAAAAGATATATCTGCGAAGTATTAAAAGCACTTTATAGCATATAGTAAATGCTTAAGATAATATTAAAAATTATTATCTTCAATAATTTAAAAGAAAGGCATTAGAACTATTATGAGTACAAAGTGAGGGCAGGATAAGAAATTTACAAAGAAACAGACTTCAGAAAAACAACAAAAAGATTTTTCAATCAGAATTTTCTGAACAGAGGAAGAAATACCTTAGGGAGTAATGACAATCTTGCTAATGAAAATTAAAAAGCTATATATTTCTAGCTGTATATATTAGATGGCACTCTTCTCTACGCCAAAAAACAACATAGTATATAATATGATCCATTTCTCCAAAAAGTATATAATCTAGTTGGGTAAAAAGGTAAGAAATAGAAGAAAATGATGCCAGAAGAAGTGCCTCATTTCAGAGTTCCTACCAAATTAGGAAAATTAATAATCAGTTTTTGTTTTACATGCTGAATATATGTCGAATTATGCCTGCATATCAAATTCTGATATATAATTTTAGGATAACTTAAAATAAGTTCATAAATTTTGATGAATTAAATGCAGTCTCTTAATCAATCAATGGAATGTAATATCATCTGAAAAATGATGAGAGTTCCTTACCATTAAAACAGTTTTGGAGGAATCACTGGGGTATCTGAGACTGAATACTCCCAAAGCCCCCAAAAGACAAAAGAAAGCAAATGTGGCAACATTTCTAATATCTAGAAATGATTCTATAAGTGGTATTGTTCCCATGGTCCAATCACAGCAGAGCTCTGAAGGATTTAATAGAAGCCAAGCATTCACAGGGAGGAGGTAGTTAAAAGTTAGCTGCCTTGTAGGAGTTGGGCTTACAGCTGCTGGGTTATCAAACCTGTATAAAGAATGAAAAAAAAAAAAGTTATTCAAACTAAAACACTTTTTAAACATAAAATTAATATATAACTAAAATACTAAACAATAATTAAAGCAATATTTTATATGCAATCTCATTAAACAGAAGACAAATATTTTTTATGAGCACCTCAGATTCCTGCCAGAGTCTAAAGTGTCTAATCTTTATGAAATATCTAGTTGAGAGGAGTGGCAGTCATGAAGAACTGACCAAAGGGCAAGCGAGTTATCTATTTCTAGTTTTTTAATTAGAATAATTCAGAAATGCATCCTATAGTATTATGACACTCTATAGAAGTGCTTTAATTAAATTATAACCTTCTGATTAACAGTAGTAGGAAAAGTTGGATAAGATTCATTATTGCATGTGATGTATGAATGCTCCTAAGAAATACATTACTGTTTTTCTCCTACCACAGACAGAGAAAACTGTATCATTTATAAACTTTTCCTCTTTGTTTAGACTTCTTGGAGGCTAAAAACCAAATTTCCAGCACAGAGTACTCACTATAAAGGCCTATGTATCATTTTATTTACGTTTTCCTTTTTTCCTTCTAGTATATATTAATATAAAACTATATCCTAGCTTGTATCTCCCCTGGCCATGATATATTTAATGTATATTTCATTAGTCTATTTCCTGAAAACTAAGGCAAATCATTTTTAAAAGTACATTTAAAAAGAATAACTTCACTTATATTTCTTTATGTTATGTTCTAAATTTTATTGACTATATTAATATATAGTCCTTTAAAAATTTAATTACTCATTTTAAAATGAGTAAGCCAATGAAAAATCAACCTCTACCATTTGACTTGGTCTTCCTAAAAATATCAAATGATTGAGAAAAAGTAAATACTGTTTGAACAAATAATATCATTAAAATTTTTTCATATTTAAATATCTACATATATGAAAAATAATAAATACTGAGAATCAGGACCTGAATTCTCAAAATAACCAATAAACTGAATACAAAGCTGTCTTTTCCCCCGTTATCCACTATTCAAAGTTCATTTATTATAATTAACAATTTATTTAGGACAGTGAATAATTGAACTGTAGAGAAAGAGTACATGTCAAAGCAAATCAAATTATATAATAATCAATTTCACAAGGTAATATAATAGAATAAAATTTATACACACACACACAAATACTTATTTATATGTAACACCCCATACATTCATCTACACATACATACACAAAACAAACATATTTAGACCTAGTAACCAATTTTCATACTGTAGAATTAGAAATGAGATATCAAATTTTCTAAAAGGAATAATAAATGAAATAAAAGCATTGAAACTAAAGGGCCAAGAGAAAATATAAAGTATATATCTATAATTCAATCTAATACTTAAATGAGGTGTTCAATTTTGCCTGACTAGACTTGAAGATAAATAATTAGGAAATTAAAAAGTAATTATTCTTTAATAAAAAAATGCTATTAAAAGGATAGTTATATGAAAAAATATCACAAAGATAGTGTTGGATATAGAGAATTATCTGAATAAAATTTATTCTAACCAGCAATGCACAATCATGTATAGCAAATAACCAACATTTTGGCCTTTTGTTAAAAGAAAAAAAGTTATTGCTTATAATGTTAGCCACTTAAATAAAATTTAATAAAGAACTAGTAAAATTTTCATTTATATTTTAGCCAAGTAAGATGAAATGGAAAAAATGCTAAATGTTAAGAGCAGTAAAAAATTACATATAGATTATTTAAAATTCAGTATAAATATTGCTTCTAGCCTTAAACAAATGAAAAACTGGACAAGATATATAAAGCTTTTTTTTGTTTTTAACACTATGAGCATCAAGCCAGGAAGGTCAGAGATACCTGAGAGAAGAAAAACTGCCCTACCTGAAGAGCTTAGTACCTGAAAAGAGTTTTTAGTCTGTGGGGCTATGAAAGGGAACCCAGGCAGAGTCCCAGGGTCCAGAGTTAGTGAGCAGAGTATCACCAAGAAGAAATCTGCTGAGAAAGAAAACTCAGGAGATCTGTAGGTCTCTCTCCAGTTTTCAGTATTATGTGAGGTAATACTCAAGATCAGTACTGTAGTACGTTGAATAATGTCTCCCCAAAATTCAAGTCTACCCTACACCCCAGAATAGGACCTTATTTGGAAATAGGATCTTTGCCAGAGTAATTAATTAAAATGAGGTCATACTGAATTAAGCTGGGCCATAAATTGAGTGACTGCTATTGTTATACAAAGAGGAGAGAATACAGAGAAACACACAGGGAAGGCGGCCAGGTAAAGACAAAGAAGATTGAAGTGATGCAGCAACATGCCAAGGAATGCCAAAGATAGCCAGCAACCACCAGGGGTTTGCAAAGGGGCACGAAACAGATTTTTCCTCAGAGCCTTCAGAAGGAAGTAACTGCCAAACACCCTAATTTTGAACTTCTGGCCTCCAGCACAGTGAGAATAAGTTTCTGATGCTTTAAGCTACTCAGTTTGTGGTAATTTATTATAGCAGCTCTAGGAAAACTAATACAAATAGTAAAATACCTCCTGAAAGGATTAAACATTTCCAAATATCATGGCGAGCTGGGAATAGCTCCTCAGCAGGCAGAGTGCAGATCCCCCTAATTCACCGCCAGAAGGGTCTTGTGTCAGAAGTGGAGCAATATTAGCCTAACCAAAATACTACTGTGTGATCTCACGAAACAAAGCTTAAAAAAGCAAGGCTGAAAGATGAAACTAATAAATGCCTCCCAGAACAAAGTCTAAACTATTTACAAGAATACATTAAGGTAAAACTCACATATGGCACCTATTAAAAAATTACCAGGCATGTGAAGAAGTAGAAAAACTTAATCCATGAGGAGAAAAATTATTCAATCTAAACTGACCAAGAAATGACACGTGATAAAATTAGTGGACAGGACAGGAACATTAAAGCACTAGAACATGGAACACATAAAAAAGACTCAAATAGAACAGAAAACAACACCTCAGATGAAGAAGTCTAAAATACATGTAACTGAAGTTCCAAAAGAAGAGAGAGAGAAGACAGAAAATATATTTCAAGAAGTAACAGCTGAAAATTTTTCAAAATTTACATAAAGTAAAACCTATAGATTCTAAAAAGTTAAATTAACCTAAGCATAAGAAATATGAAGATAAACAAAACAGTGACTGGAAGTTTGTATCTTTGGACCACCTTCTCCCAAACTTTTAGTTAAAGCTGAGTAAGTCCTGAGGATGTAACTTACAGTGTGGTGACTATAGTTAAAAACACAGCACAGTGTATATTTGAAAGTTGCTAAGAGAGGAGATCTTAAAAGTTTTCATCACAAGAAAAAAAACTATTTTGTAAATATGTGTAGTGATGGATGCTAACTAAACTTATTAGGGTAATCATTTCCCTCTCTCTATATATCAAAACATTATGTTGTACATTTAAAACTAATACAATGTTATATGTTAATTATGTTGCAAAAAAATAAAGAGAAGAGAAAAAATGATAAAGAGAAAATATTAAAAGTGGCATAAAGATACTATATGCAGAAGTATTTAAAGATAAGGGTGACAGAAGATTTCCCGGGGGGAAAACGATGCAAGCCAGAAAGTACTAGAGTAACATTTTTAGATTACTGAATGAAAAATAGTCAGTGCAGGATTCTACACTGAAGGATAATACTGTTAAAAACAGAGGCGAAATAAAGTATTTTTACATACAAAAGCTAAAAGAATTCATCACTAGCAGACCTACATATTAAGAAATATTAAAGTTCTTCAGTCACAAGGAAAAATGGTACTAGTAATGGGAACTCTATGCATTAATATAAAAGACTTTAAAAAACTATTTTAATTTATTCCAAAAATAATTGTTTAAAGCAGAAAATAACAATGTATTGTGGAATATGCAATGTATACTCCAGGAAAATGTATGCAAACAACACAAAGGCTACGTTCTTATTTATAACAATTTTATATATCTACACAAGAATTTACTTATATATGTTTATACTATACATATTGACATTTATGCTATATATACTTGCAATTATATCTCTTGAAGATAAATTGTGATAAGCAAAGGATGTATACAAACCCTAAAGTAGAGATTTTCAACTCGTGTGCCACAAGAATTTGAAAACATGCAATACTTGACTATTTAGTTGGGGGGGCATTGACCTCTTTCCCTCAGATTGTAAAATAAAATAAAAATGACAACAGCCAACACAAAGATAGCCATCCAGTATGACTGAATCAAAATTATACCATTTTTTCTTTTGTCAGATAGGTAAAATAGATATTTTTTCATGTGCTCCAAAATCTTGGTAATTAATTTATGTGTGCCATGAGATAAAAAGGGTTAAGAATAGCTACCCTAAAGCAAACATTACCAACAAACAAACAAACAAACAGCAAAACACCAAACAGCAAAGATTTATAGCTAATAAGCCAAGGAGATAAAAACTGAATAAAAAAAGTAATCCAAAGAAGAGAGAAAGAAAAAAAAGCGAACAAAGAGATGGGACCAAAAAACAAGAGCAAGATGGTAGATTTACATCAAACTATATCAATAATCGTATTAAATGTAAATAGCTGAAACACTCTAGTTATTTTATTTTATTTTTTTGATAAGTGCCCCTAGTGGAAACCGAACCCAGGACTGTATGGTCCGCAGGCCGATGCTCCAACCGCTAAGCCAAACTGGCCAGGGCTGAAACACTATTTAAAAGATAAAGATAGAGCCCTGGCCAGTTTTGCTCAGCGGTTAGAGCGTCGGCCTGCGGTCCGGAGAGACCTGGGTTCGGTTCCCGCTAAGGGCACGTACTTCGGTTGCAGTTTGTCCCCGGCCCTGGTTGGTCGTGCGGGTGGCAGCCACTCGATGTGTCCCTTCACGTCGATGTTTCTCTCTCTCTCTCCCTTCCTCTCTCTCCCTCCCACTCTATCTGTACAAAAATGGAAAAATATCCTCGGGTGAGGATAAAAAAAAAAAAAAAAAAAAAAAAAAAAGATAAAGATAGATAATCTGACCAATCAAAAAAGGAAAACCCAATTCTATGCAGCCTACAAGAAATCCACTTTAAATATTAAAATACAGACGGATAAAAACTAACAGGCTGGAAAAAGTTAAACAATATTAACAGTATATTAACATGGCTTGAGTGGCTATATTAATACAAGAAAATGTAAATTTCTGATTAAAGACTATTATTTGGGACAAAGAAACTCATTTAATAATGATAAAAGGGTCAATTCACCATGGGGAAATTACAATCCAAAATATTTATGCACTTATTAATAGAGCGTTAAAACACAAAAGCAAAAAAAGATTCAACTGGAAGCAAAAATAGACAAATCTACAGTTATAGTCTGAAATTACAACATCCTTCTTTCAATAATTAATAGAACAAGTAGACAAAAATCATTAAGAATATAGAAGACTTAACATTTATCCAATTTGAGGGTCATTATATCTTGACTGTGGTGATTTCATGAGTATATACGTACCTCAAAATTTATTAATTTGTACATTTTAAATATATGCAGGTTTTAAAAAATATTAATTATGATTCAGTAAAGCTGTTAAAAAAGAAACCTCAATGTAAAACAAAGACTTTCTGGAATATTTACAATCACTTAAAATCCAAAGTTAATTAAAAAAAGATAGAAAAACAACAAAAACACACAGAAATTCATACCTGGTGAATACTGGAAGTTGGGACTGAATAACCTGGACTCTAATCACAACAAGTAATAGTGTACTGAACATCAAAACAATGAGTTTTATTAATGTCTGCAGCATAGAAAATGGAATACTACCCTTTCCCCGAAGAAACTGTCCAGCAGTAGTACATAATAATGGTAAAGTATACTGGAAAAGAAAAGAAAAATGTTTTAAATAAATATCCATATACCACAATGTTACCACGTACTGCTTTCTAAATGCGAGATAGAAACTGACTATAATTTTAAAATCAATATGGAACAATTTGTAGAACTGATAATGAATAAAACTGAGCCAAATAATCTTATCCAACAATTAATTATAAAGTATTCCAAACAGCCTAACAATTCCATTATTAAACTTAAAAAGCAGCCTTTAAAAAGCTGACGGTGTTATAAAATGTGAAGTAATTTTCAGTGGTATGAGGAAAAACATACTTGTTTCTTACTAATTTTTGGTATTATTAATGGTAAACAGACTTATTTACATAATGATGCATTTAGAAAATAAGTTTATTATAATCAGATTCAAACAGGAAAAAAGATAGCTTTAAGAAAATTTGTATTCCTCCTTACCCCCTGGGCAATAAATACTTCATACACACAGCAAATTCCCACAACTGTTATTCCTTGTTCTTTACACAATGTTGCAACAGCCATTAAAAACACTGTCAATGCAATTGGAGTCCACACTGCAATTCAAGAATGAAAAATATAAACCTACACAAAATAATTTGATACTATCACAAAAAGATATTTTAAGTTGGACAACTATTAGACATTACTAAAAAACTTTACCTGTGATTCTACATTCACATTTGTGCTATTTCCCACTAACGTAATTTATATTTAAAAATGTGTAAGTAATTTATGCTTTGCATATTCGAAACAAAATATCAAGGTGTGTAATTTAAACAAAATTTTTTTTTGTGGAGATAAAGATTATTTAATCAAATACTAACTTTTAAACCAAATATAGGGTGACCAATATGGAGAAGAGAAACTTACAAGTTTGAATGTCATGAATAATGAACTATCAATTTGAAATGAAAGACAAATACTTAAAATTAGCACATAGATATCAGTATACTTCATTTATTAAAAACCTGAAACTGAAAACTACTAGTCAAGGTAGAATACAATTCTTAATAAAAAATCCAGAAAAACTGAAACAGATTAACAATAAGAATCTAAATCAATACTATTCTCTTAAAAATTCACAATATTCACAAATTTTATTTAAATAAAAAACCTACTTCATCCACTTTAAGAAAATGTCTACTACTTAGTAGTAATTTAAGCAAAGAACAATGACTTGTGAAAGTAATTCTGGATCTACCACTAAATTGCTTTGTGACTCTGGGCACCTGTTCTGTGTTCCAGTTTTCTTACTGGAAAATATGACCTTCATTTTTTTCCAGTTTAAAAAAAAAAATGGTAGTATGATGTGTGCCCTCATTTTTTTATCCATTAAAAACATTAATCAAAGCAAAACCTCATCATAATTAACTTATAAACAGGAAGAAATAAGAATACAACTCATGCCCTGGCCAGTTTTGCTTAGCGGTTAGAGCGTCGGCCTGCGGTCCGGAGAGACCCGGGTTCGGTTCCTGCTAAGGGCATGTACTTCGGTTGCAGTTTGTCCCTGGCCCTGGTTGGTCGTGCGGGTGGCAGCCACTCGATGTGTCCCTTCACGTCGATGTTTCTCTCTCTCTCCCTCCCACTCTATCTGTACAAAAAATGGAAAAATATCCTCGGGTGAGGATAAAAAAAAAAAAAAAAAGAATACAACTCATGTATTTAATGTATTTACTTTTGACATTGGGCTTAACGTAGAAGTTCATCTATTTTTGAAAATTTTTTTCTTTATTGATTTTTAGAGAGAGAGAGGGAGAGAGAGATAGAAACATCGATGAGAGAGAACACTGACTGGCTGCCTCCTGCATGCCCCCGACTGGGGACTGGGCCCACAACCTGGGCATGTGCCCTGACCAGGAATCGAACCAGCGACCTCTTGGTGCATGGGTCAACGCCCAACCACTGAGCCACACTGGCCAGGCTTTGAAATAGTTTTTAATTTTAAAATATATTTTACAGACTAAAATTACTGAAAGTAAAAATAACTTAAAAAGAAAGAAAAATCTCTGGCCAGTTTGGCTCAGCAGTTAGAGCATCAACCTGCAGACCAATGAGTTGTGGGTTGATTCCAGTCAAGGTCAAGTACCTTGGTTTCGATTCAGTCCCCAGCCCTGGTCGGGTTGTGCGGGAGGCAACCAATAGATGTGTCTCTTTCACATCTGTTTCTCTCTCCCTCCCTCCTTCCCTCCTACTCTGTCTGAAGATAAACAGAAAAATATCCTCGGGTGAGGATTAATAAACAAACAAACAAACAAAAAAACTCAAAACACTGTTGGGGATACTAAGTATAAAAGTATTCTTTTCTCAAAAAAATTATCATATTCTAGTTAGGCCAAAATCATCAATATTGATAAACAGGCTATACCAAGGGTTGAAATATTGTATTAATTCAACAAGAAATTCATAAAGGAAAGAAACGAGTAGATGATTATTTACAAAATACAAAACAAGTTGAACCTAAATTTGGACTATGAAGGATATACAAGACATGGAAAAAGTGGGAAAGGCATATATATGAATAAAAGAGTAGGGGAGAAAATTCTCCAAGAATGTAAGGAAAAAACTCAGTTAAACTTTAAGAGCCACCAAATAGATTAAGGCCATTATGTAAAGCCACTTTCGTGCCTACTGTGTCCACACTTGTAAAAAATCATTTTTATTGCTTGGAACTTGTTTTGTGACAATGCCAAGCATCATCAGCACGAATAAGCTAACAGATGCAAAGCATTATCCAGGGTAGGCCACATGGTAGGGATTCAATAAATAGCTGAACTATGATCAACACATAAAAAAAATTATACTCTACTAGGCTTTTAACATTGCCTAATAATATAATTTACAGCCGCCAGAGGTGTTCTTTTACAGAAAGAAAAACGAAATATTGGTACCTCTATCATTTGTAGAAAATGGCAGATGGAACTAAAAATGTCCCTAAAACTCCTAAATCCTAGAAAAATTTTTAAAAAAATTTGATCATATAGAATCTCTTAGTCATAATAAAATATAAACTACATGCAAGAAACTTTAATATTAACAATGTTGCATACTTTCTTATGTCCATACATGCTAAGTAGTACAATATATAATGATAAACCCCAAGTGTGGCATATGTTTTATAAGCAGCACTAAAGCAGATAAAAATTACCTGATCAAGTTTTACAGCTACAGAAAAAAAAGAAAATTAGATGGTAATTTACCTATGGAATTATTCGGTCCTTTCGATTTGGTATATGACAAAAACGCAGCTAGAAAAAAGATAGATGACAAAAGTTCTGCTCTTCCTACAACACCTGTTACCTATAAAGGGAAAAGGTCATATTAATGAAAAACATCTTAAAAATTTAACTGTACATAACAGCAATAGCAATTTAATGAGAATCTAAATTGATAGAACTTTTCAAGTGCACATTTCTTTCTTAGACATTCTTTGAGTGCCCTCATGTGGAGACCTCATATCTTCCATAAAAATACATTTATCAGTGACTCTTTAAAGTTTTTTTATTAGTAATACTATTTTGAAATAATTATAGACATACAAAAAGTTACAAAAATAGAGAGAGGTCCTATGTACCCTTTCCCCAGCTTCCCCCAATGGTAACATATTATATAATTACAATATAATATTTAATATAGTTCTTTATTAAAAAAAAAAAGAAAATAGCTAGCTAAGTACTTCCTAAATGTTTTCTTAAAATACAAAAGTATCACAAATTTAATAAATTATCTCATAATAAGCTGGCAAATTAAAGTTTAAGAAGAAAATGAACTTTAAAGTTCTTTAAAATTCTAAAAATTTAAATATAAAACAAAAAGCCTCTCCCTTTAAAGTATTCTGAACTCACTATAAAATTTAGAACAACATTTTTGTAAATGTATGGAAAAATACTAGACACCAAAAGGTTCAAGGTAGTGGGAGACACAACTCCCCTCCAATACACACACAGAATTTAAACATAAAATTTTTTGCTTAGAACCAAAACAAAGCAATTGAACAGAATCTTCTTTGCTCTGACGAGAGGCAATTTTGGAGTTTCAAGTTTAACAACAACAACAAAATAGTTACAGCTTGAGTATGTCTTGGTAGGTAAGGGCTGATGGAAATGTTGGCAAGAACAGCACACGATTTTGAAATACATGGCAACAGACAATATGAAACTACTGAGTATCATCATTTGTTAGAATGTCTGTTCATGTTTGCATATATTTTAACATATTTTAATCCCTTACTTAAATTTGCCTCACTGATTATTTTCTGTCCTTTGAAAACAATGCCAAATTAAAAAACATTTTACATTTATATTCATAAAACATTTAGCAATTAATAAAACTGTACTCATTTATATGCTACCTTATTCAAGTTGAGCAATTATATCTTATGTTCTTGAATAATAAATGTTTAGGTTTCAAGAACTGCTTTATATTTTAAATTTTTAGTAGGAAGGTAGATTATTTGAACTGGGGAATTAAGAGTTGCATTAATTTAAGAATCTACAATAAAATTATGGTTAAATATCATTCTTAAAACTATATACCATATGATCACCGTGTAGGCTTTGTAAAAAACAATAAAATAAACATTAATTTACAGTTTTACTTACTGCTTCTGTGTGTATTGGGTGTACTGCAAAGAGTAAGGAAGAAATCACACTACTTCTATTGTCCAGAAAAAGTTTGCAGACTTTAAGAAATATTACACTGACCACAGCATGTAAAATCATATTTAGGAGATGGTATGACATTGGTTTTAGTTCACTAAACAGATAATTTAGGCGAAATGTCAATACTGTTAAGGGACGATAAGACTTGTGGCTTCTCTCCTAAAAGGAAAGAAAACAATCACTGATTACTGAAGTACAGTACCTTGGTCCTTTGAGGTATATAAACTAATCAATGCAATTATATCTACATTTGGTTGAGGAACAACAAAAAATAATGAAATGCCCCAAGAACAACACAAAGATAAAAGATAACTTTATAATCTCTATTTCCTATTTCCTTAATCCCCAAACAAGGCAATTTCCTCTTTGATATATAGTGGTCTTAGAAGTAACAGCAGAGGAAGGAAATTTAACTCTTAATTCCTCTTCAATACACAGATTTTTAAAAGAGCAGGAAAATAGTGATATCAATCAAATTTGAGCACAGGATTTTCTGCAAAGCCTGCTTCCCAATCTATTAGCAATACAAGCATTTATATAACTGCTGGCTAGATCTTTAAAAGGAAATATAAGAATGAAATGCTTATCAGTACAGTTTAAAGAGAAACAACTCAAAAAGGTATTGTGTAGTTGTTTTATAACAACTAGACAAACCCTGGCCAGTTTTGCTCAGTAGTTAGAGCGTCGGCCCACGGACCGGAGAGGCCCACTAAGGGCACATACGTACCTCGGTTGTAGTTTGTCTCCGGCCTGGTTGGAGTCCTGTGAGTGGCAACCACTCGATGTGTCTCTCTCACATCAATGTTTCTCTCTCTCTCTTCCTCCCTCTTTCCCTCCTGCTCTATCTGAAGATAAATGCAAAAATATCCTTGGGTAAGGATAAAAAACAAAAACAAAAACGTCCATAGCCCTGGCCAGTTCTGCTCAGTGGTTAGAGCGCCGGTTCACAGACCGGAGAGGCCCGGGTTCTGTTCATGCTAAGGGCATGTACCTTGGTTGCAGTTTGTCCCCAGCCCCAGTTGGGTCATGCAGGTGGCAGCTAGTCGATGTGTCTTTCTCACATCAATATTTCTCTCTCTCTCTTCTTCCTTTTTTCCCTCCCGCTCTATCAGAAGATAAAGGCAAAAATGTCCTCAGGTGAGGATAAAAAAACCAAACGAAACAAAATAACAAAACACTTGTCCATAATGTATAAACGTGACTTGTATTAAACGAAAAATCCCCAAATACTACACAGAGAGTAAATTCAAGAGCAAAAACTTTCTTAGAATAAGAGAACAGACACTCTTGCTATGGTAGGCTCCATCAGCAATAAATCAAATTTTATATGAAGTACTAAATTTCTTTATAAAACAGAAAGCACATTTAATCAAAAATATTTTTACTCTAAGACAAAACCAGACTTAAGAATAAAACACATGGCCTGGCAGGTGTGGCTCAGTGGATTGAGCATTGGCCCATGGACTGAGAGGTCCTGGTTCGATTCCAGGTCAGGGCACATGCCCAGGTTGTGGGCCTGATCCCCAATAGGGAGCGTGCAGGAGGCAGTCAATCAATGTATCTCTCCCACATCAATGTTTCTATCTCTCTCCCTTTCTCTCTCTAAAAAAGCAATAAAGATATATATTATAAAAAAAATAAAATAAAACACAGATGAAAAATATTATCTTAGTTATTTCTTGTAATGTTGTATAAGGGAATGCACACTCAGCTTCTTTGCTCTCCGATGCCTTGCCATCGTTTGGTACACACATACAGACTCCAGTTGTTCATCCTTACTAGAGAACATGTGGATGCACAAGCCAACAAACACTGCCCATTTTGAAATAAAAACATTTAATATCTCTATGTGTATTGACTACACACACTATGAGTCAGCTCTACCTAGAATGTTCTTTCCTGCTTGGCTAATTCTTACACATCCCTTTTATTTCAGCTCAGGCGTACACCATTTTTTTAAGGCATTATCAAACTGACACCATTTGTACCAGAAAGCTGAAAAAGGTTCTAGAAACACTGTGAGTGCCTGAAATGGTACTGTGGTTCCATTATAACACATCTGCCAGCTGAAGGGATGAAGCAAGAAAGTGACAGAGAATAGGTATTATTATTTTTTTAATCCTCACCCGAGTTATTTTTCCATTTATCATCAGACAGAATGGGAGGGAGGGAGAGAAACATTGATGTGAGAGAGACACATTGACTGGCTGCCTCCTGCATGACCCAATTAGGGCTGGGGCCGAACCACAGCTGAGGTATGTGTCCTTGACTGGAACAGAACCTGCAACTCATTGGTTCACAGGCCAACACTCTAACTGCTGAACCAAACCAGCCAGTGAGAGACTAGGTATTTTTAATTGCAGTATACCTAATTGCTTTGTCAGGTCTATTAGATGCTTGTACGCCACAGGTTGTAATAACTAAAAAATAGATTAATAAAACTATTCACATAATTAATAATCCATTTAAGTGAGACTCCAATGTTACAGATATAATCAAGCTAGATTGCAAATATGCTCTGAAAATATAGTAAAACAGCTAGTTTCGCTATAAACAAGACCATTCAGAGCATTATTATATTCAGGTATATTAAAGAAAAATTTACTTATGGTATTAGTTGGCAACAGAAACATAAAGCATAAATACAATGAAAAAATAAGCTCACAGTTCCCTGAATATGTCAATCTCTGTATGTGAATCTCCATATAGGAATGTCAAAACATAGTTAAGACAGTATATCTGCAGAAGTCATCTTACAGGTAACTTGAGAGGCCAAATGCCCGAAGAGTGTGGTTTGTTACTGCTCAGTGGTTCTCAACCATGGCTGCGCAGATCATTCGGATAACTTACACAGCCCCCATCTGTCCCCAGCAAATCCCACAAAAACAAGAAAGCAAACACACAAACAAAACAGGACAAAAAATACTAATGCCAGCATCCCACTCTAATTATAATTACCAGGTTTTGGTAGAGCATTGGTAATATATATTTTTACAGTGCTCTAGGCAGATTCTATGTGCACCCAGGGTTGCAATACAAGAAAACACCAATAAACAGAGCATTACATATCTGAAAAATGGGCTTACTAAGAGATTAATCTAAACAATAAGAGCACTAGAGGAGTCCAAACATTCCCTAATGTGGTAGTATTCAGTGAGTTCAGTTGAATGTCCTATCCTAAAATGTGTCTTTAAGATGTATATTTGCACAAATGTCACTGTAAAGGTTTGTGCTGGTGCAAGCTTCCAGGCTGTCATTATTGAATAACATCAACCATTACATCTATGAAAGTGCTAATTCCTGGCTTGTCAAGAAACCTTATGACACCTATATATTACTTAGAATAATTTTTCCCTAGCAGCATATTTCCCTATAGAAAGAGAACATGTCTATCAGAAAACACAAGGAAGCAACACTTTTCACTATAAATTGTTATTCTAATTTGTTCATAGTCCATCTGAATTTATTAGGGGATCCTCTTATAAGTGCTATGAACAAAATCAAATTTTCATCTGCGAAGGTGAGAAAAATCACAAAATATAGCATTAATACCATGGTATGATACATTTCATGAGCCCTTTAATCTGGTCAGCTAACCTTTCAGGTCAACAATCTCAATGTCATGTTTCAATCACAAATTATACTGACTTAAGATGGGGGAAATGGACACATATTTCTATGGATCTCTGGGGATAAAGGAAGAGGTCAAGGGGACATAAACTATCTAGAAAATAATGTATGTTATAATAGGACAAATTTTCCCTTGTAATCAAAATATTTATTTTTCTCCAATTTTTATTAATTTATTTTTGTTACAGATGTTTCTCCTCCCCCCATACCCCTTCCTCTCCATCCCAACCCCCCACCCCCTTAGCACTGTTGTCTATGTCCATTGGTTATGCATATGTGCATGTAAATTCTTTGGTTCATCTCATCCATGCCCCCCAACCCCCAAACTCTGAGGTTCGTCAGTCTGAACCATAAAAATATTTTTTTTTAAAGGCTAGAAAAGGGTGAGAACAGGAAGGCTGCAAGAAAATAGTCTGCTTATTTATTGATTGATTATTATTATTAATTTTTTTTCCTCACCCGAGGATACTTTTTATTTATCATCAGATAGAGTGGGAAGAAGGGAGGGAGGGACAGAGAGAGAGAAATATTGATGTGATAGAGCCACATCAACTGGTTGCCTCCTGCACGACCCAACCAGGAATGAGGACAAACCGGGTTAGGGACAAACGGCAACTGAGGTACGTGCCCTTGACTGGAATTGAACCCGTGACTCATTATGTCCTTGCACCGATGCTCTAACTGCTGAGCAAAACTGGCCAGGGCTATTTATTTATTTATTTATTATTTATTTATTTATTTATTTTATCTTCACCCGAGGACATTTTTGCATTTATCTTCAGATAGAACAGGAAGGAGAGAGGAAGAGAGAGAGAAACATTGATGTGAGAGAGACACATCGACTGGCTGTCACCCACACAACCCCATGGGGCCAGGGACAAACTGCAACTGAGGTATGTGCCCCTAGCAGGAACCAAACCTGGGACTCTCTGGTCCGCGGGTCGATGTCCTAACTGCTGAGCTAAACTGGCCAGGGAACCAGGGCTATTTATTTTTAATCCTCACCCGAAGTTTTAGAAACAGGAAGGGGGAGGGGAGGAGGGAGAGAGAGAGAGACAGAGAGAGAGAGAGAGATTGAGAGATCAGTTGCCTCCAGTCCATGCACCAACCAGGGATCGAACCTGCAACCTAGGTATGTGCCTTGATGGGGAATCGAACCCACAATCTTTTTGGTGTACAGGACAATGCTCCAACCAACTGAGCCATGCAGTCGGGGCTAGAGTCTGCTTACTTAATAAGAGAAAATACTTATGTGCTCATAACTAGGGAAATGAAAGATTCCATCCCCATGCTTGTGTAGCTTCCAAATTTGGAGACTGCAGAAATAGGCCATGCATGATGACAGACAAATATAATGGAATGTTACATATTACGTTTCAACAACTATGTGCCAGGTACTATAGATATATGAATTCATTTAATTATCTTCAAGGTATTATTGTTTTATAGATTAGGAAAGTGACCTGCCATCTAAAAGCTGCATTCCCACCTATTTCACACAACTATTTTTTTTTTTTTTATCCTCACCCGAGGACATTTTTCCAATTTTTGTACAGATAGAGTGGGAGGGGGAGAGAGGGAGACAGAGAGAGAGAAACATCGACATGAAAGGGACACATCGAGTGGCTGCCACCCTCACGACCAACCAGGGCCGGGGACAAACTGCAACCGAGGTACATGCCCTTAGCGGGAACCGAACCCGGGTCTCTCCGGACCGCAGGCCGACGCTCTAACTGCTGAGCCAAACCGGCCAGGGCCACACAACTATTTTTAATAGGACTAAAATCAGAATCCAATCTAAATGATCCCAAACTGACATGGATTTGATCTCAATTTAACACTGACCTTCAAAATAAAATTTCTGGCAAAGTTAAAATACCCTCATAAAAATGAACTAAACTTCTGGGTTCTCAATATAAAATCAAAATAACTATTAGATAAGAGAGATGACATATTTAAAGTTTTTAATAAATCACTTTTTCTCTGCATAAAAATTGGCAATATATGTACTTACTATTTTTACCCTTAAGGTCTCATTTATGTTAAAGTTACATGTATTTTTAAATAGTTACATATATCACAAGTAGTCATCTCTTTTGCTTCCCTCACAAGAGAAAATCAGTGAGCAAGAAACAGACTTGTTTTAAACCTACTGTTTTGCTAACAAACTTGCTTTTCACAGGCATATATTATTATTTTTTTTCTTTATTGATTTTAGAGAGGAAGGGAGAGGGAAAGAGAGATAGAAACATTGATGAGAGAGAACATCACTTGGCCGCCTCCTATATGCCCCTCACTGGGGATTTGTCCCATAACCTGGGCATGTGCCCTGACCAGGAATTGAACCGGTGACCTCTTGGTGTGTGGGTGGACACTCAACCACTGAGCTACACGGGCTGGGCTGCATATATTATTTTTTAAAAGATTAAACCAAGGTACACAACCAAGGAAAAAAACAAGAACCATAGAATCACACCCTACCGGGTTTCTCAACGGTTAGAGCATCAGCCCATGGGCCAAAGAGTTGTGGGTTCGATTTCCATCAAGGGCACGTACCTTGGTTGCGGTTTGGTCCCTGGCCCTAGTTGGGGTTGTGCAGGAGGCAACCAGTTGATGTGCCTCTCTTACTTTGATGTTTCTCTCTCTCTCTCCCTACCACTCTGTCTGAAGATAAATGGAAAAATATCCTTGGGTGAGAATTTAATAAAAAAAGATAATCACATCTTCAACTTCCTAACCAATTTTTATACAAACATGCTAGTATGTCTCATAAAATTTTTTGGGGAAAAATCCGTAATTGCCAATGTTGATAAGAAAGAAATAGAAGTAATAAACCATCAGAATATCTTTTAATCTAAGATTCTTATAAATAATATATAAGTAATTCTTACCTCAGACATAGGGGTTCCCCAGAAATCATTCTGAAATAAAGTTTTTAAAGGTGTGGATGGATGAAGGTCTTTATTATCCAGTATTGCTGAAACATCATCAAAAACAAAACCACAAAAGAGGCTGTTCCAATAGCAGGCAGTAACCACACCTACTATTAAGGTGATTTCCTTGAAGCTAATATCAGCCATCTTTTCCACAGCACTGGTACACAAAATCTAGGGGGGAAATCATTAAGATAAAATGAAATAAGCAACATGTTTTTCTTTTTTTCAAATAAGTACAATTTTAACAGATGGAGAGTAAGTAAAGACTGAATGTTAATTATCCCAGAGAATTAATTCTCCAAAGCTCAGCTCAAATATCATCCACCTCTAACAAGCATTAGCTGATTACCTTTCCACATTCCTAACATCATACAGAATTAATTGCTCCTACATGTGTTTTCAAACCTCGGTTACAGTCCTTTATTACACTACTTAATCTTTAGAGCTATCTTTCCAGCTAACTGGACAGTGAACTCCTTATCAACTGTCACCGTCTGGTTACCTGAGAAATGGATATATATACAAGATAACTTTAAAAAACTAGTAAGATGTGCTCCACAAGTAACTAAATAAATATTTTTGAGAAAAAAAAAAACACTTGAAAAGACAACTGATGATCATGGATTTTTCTGAAATGTAAAGTAAGCTTATGTTTTATTATTTTATGAATCTAAGGATCAACTATTACTTAAATCAGTAGTCCAAACTTGTAGCCTGCAGCCCTGTTTAGTTTGATGAAAAGGTATTCTAGCCAGTTAACAACAACCCCATTCATTATCTTTCACCAGAATTCATTTGACTGATTTATGCTATCTACTTGGCCTTTGAGGCATATGAGTTTATAACCTAGATCTAAACCATGGTTTTCCTTTTTTCCATTACAACACTTTTAATCTAGAGAATGGGCTTTATACCTGACAACATATAATTAAGTCATTGCTTAGAAAGGATTCATTGAGAGAATGGTTTAGAGTAGAAAGAACTACAAGAACTAGAGAAGGCACTCAAGAATCCACCCTACAATAAAAATAAGGTTGAAAGGTATTCTTAAAAACAAGCTGATGATGCCCAGCCAGTGTGGCTCAGTGGTAGAGCATCAACCCATGCACCAAGAAAGAGGTCGCTAGTTTGAATCCCTGTCAGCGCACAGGCCCAGGTTGTGGGCCTGATTCCCAGTGGGCAGCCAATCGATGTTCTTTCTCATTGGTGTTTCTATCTCTTTCTAACATCAATAAAGGAAAAACACAACCCCAAAAACAGAAGTTGTTGATATACTTTTCTGGGCAGAGTAGTGTCATTATAACATTTTGGTGTTATCACTTGTGGAGGGCAGAATAATGACCTGGGTTGCAGGTTCGATCCCCAACCCTGGTTGGAGTCAACTAATCAATGTTTCTCATATCCTTCAATGTTTCTCTCTCTCTCTCTCTATCCCTCTCTCTCTCTCTCTCCCTCCCTCCCTTCCATTCTATCTAAATAAAAATCAATGGAAAAATATCCTCAGGTAAGGATTAACAACAAAAAAGGTTTATCTTCATTTTAAGCAACCCCTGTCTATTGCTTCTGTGCATCTAGGTTAACAAACTTTTGAAATGTGTCTTTGTCAGATCCCTGAGAGCCATAACCACCTTTACGGGAGCACATAATATTGTTTACTACCCTGTACCTCGCTTTCTTTCTTTCTTTTAAAATATTTTTTCTTTATTGATTTTAGAGAAAGAGGAAGGGAGAGGGAGAAAGAGAGAGAAACATAGATGAGAGAGAACATCACTTGGCCGCCTCCTGCATGACCCCCACGGGGGATCGGGCCCATAATCTGGGCATGTGCCCTGACCAGGAATAGAACTGGTGACTTCTTAGTGCATAGGTCTACACGCAACCAGTGAGCCACACTGGCTGGGCAGTACCTTGCTTTCTTTCACTTTCATGTACATCTTCCTGACATTCCCTCCTTTATTACAAATGTATAAATTAAACTACAAAACTGTCATTCTCTGAAGCATCTGAAATTTTGTTTCCCAGCAATGTCATCAGTTTGGCTCAAATAAATTCATAAAAATTCTCTACAGGGCTGGGTGTTTCTTACATTTACAATTTATATATAGATATACAAGTGCCTATAGAAAAATATTAAAGTATCTTTAGAATCAGACAGATAAACCTTAGAATATATTAGACTTTTAAAAGAAATGCAAATCCACTCCAATGCAATAAATCAGGAAAGGATATTAGCTGTATCTTTTGAAAATATATAGTTTTCAACTAAAAAAAAAAAAGAGTTTTTTTTTTTAAATAAGAGCAAACTTATTTAGAAAGTTACAAAGGTAGGGTAGTAGCAGTGAGCCAGCTGGGCCATCTGGGCTCAGGAAACGAGTCAGAGGTGGAAGAGGGCCCTTGGAGCCCAGGGAAGGGAAGGGCCAAGAGAGGCACCTGGGGGAGGGAGGGCAAGGCGCAGGCAAGCTCCCAACAGGGAGAGCTCAGTGAGGGCTCCCTCGAGTCCAAAAGTGATCTACCATAGACTTCTACTTACTTATTTACTCACTTACACTTATTATCCACAACAAAGTTGATGGTGCTTGTTTAAAGACTGGAGAGACTGAACAACAGGTATTTTATTTGCCTCAGCTCCTTACCAAATATGGTAAAATGACTCTAAAGGTATTAATTTAAAAAAAGAGAGAAAGACAATTGTGTAGATGAAAAAGGGGTTCTTTGGAAAGTAATATCATAGAGTTATTGATAATAAATTCCTAAATGGAAATTGGTCACCAAGCCATCCCTGAGATTTTTCCCCAGAAAGACTGGATAAAAATCCAGCAATGCAGACGAAAACCTGATGAAACTGAACTTACTTTTTAAAAACGTTTTGAAAAAACTTTCAAACACTATTCAGGATTGTCTCGACAGCTTAAGTATCATCAAAATGATCCAATGCTCACTGCAGCATTTCTGGAAGATTAGATGAGAAGCTTGTAACTCTGGTTAAATAATATGAATTAAATGGCTGACCACAAATGCTAAATTAGTAACTCTGGATGATCAGTTATTTAAAATTATCCAAAAGGAAGAAAAGAACAAAGCCACTAAAATGATGAATTTACAACTCCAGCAACTAGGCAATCAGGTGAGACCTCCTCAGAAGCCTTTTAATTGGGTGAAAGGAGAGTCTGCTTTCACTGTAAAAGGCCTGGCCACCTGAAGAAGGACTGTAGGAAACTGAAGTGAATTTAGAAAAAGAAAGAAGACAGGAGGAGCAAGTATAGGGATGCTCTGAGGACTGTGAGAAGGCACTTCTTCTTACCAATGCTTTAGGAGAAATAGAAATTACCATAAAGGGGGAAACTACTAAGGACCTTGTAGATACTGGGGCTACTTTATCTGTTCTTAACCTCACCCAATTAAGTTGCCCTCTCCCTCAGAGTAAAAGTTCTGTGCAAAGGTAGGGATATCCAATCAACCAATGTTCATTTTTATTTTATTTATTTTTTTAAGGTATTTTTTTAAAAAAATTGATTTTAGAAAAAGAGGAAGGGAGAGTGAGAAACACTGATTTGTTGTTTCACTTATTTATTCATTCACTGGTTGCTTCTTGTATGTGCCCTGACCAGGGATTGAACCTGCAACCTTGGGGTGTAAGGAGGATGCTCTAACCAACTGAACTACCTGGCCAGGGACCCAATATTCATTTTTAAATAGGAATCTATTCCCTTTCAACTAGGGAATGTGACAGGGAAACACATTTTTGCTAGTCAAATCTGACCCAATTCACCCAATAAAGAGAGATTTTCTTGAAACCCATGACACTTTTATAGACAGCTATAAAAGGGCAGAAGGTGTCCAAGGACAAAATTCAGTTATGTTGCCCCAAATAAAACACCTTTGCCATCTTTTATCTAAAGATAGGTTACTAATTAACCCCCAATGACTCAAAAGAATCTTATCCTTTCCCCTTCCAAGACCTAAAAAGCAGCTTAATGGTTTTTATAGGGTTGACTGGATACTTTTGTATCCACGTTTTTCATTAATGGCTCAACTTCTAGATGCTTATTAAAATCAGAGTGACCTCCTAGACAGTGTGGCTCAGTGGACTGAGTGAGCTTCATTCCATGGACTGAGAGGTCCCAGTTCGATTCCTGGTCAGGGCACATGCCTGGGGTGTGGGCTCAATCCCCAGTAGGGGGCGTGTAGGAGGCAGTCGATTGATGATTCCCTCTCTCTCTCCCTCCCTCTCTCTAAAATAATCAGTTAACACACACATTAATATCAGATTGACCTGATCCAATCCAATGGAAGCCCAAAGCTGTAGAAGCTCTAAAGGAAAAGCTTTCTAAAACTCCCACTTTGGGAGACCCTAATTACAAACTTCTTTTCATACATAAAAATAAATGCTTTAGGAATTCTGACTCAGAAACACAGAGATCATCATAGACCTACAGGACAGTATAGCCAGCAATCAGACTCAGTAGTGACAGTGCTCCCTCCTGTATGAGGGCCATCTCTGTTACAGCCCTGTTGTGCAAAACAAACAGAAGAGATAGTTATGGACACTCCTTCAACCAGTTATGATCCTCATTCTGTTGAATCTTTGCTGAACTCTTACCATACTCAGCATTACTCAGTCAGCTGACTGGCTCCTTATGACATACTCCTGCTTTCTGCACTTCATATTACTTTAGCTTAATGTAAAGTTTTTTTTGTTTTTGTTTTTTTTTTATCCTCACCCAAGGACATTTTTGCATTTATCTTCAGATAGAGCAGGAGGGAGATAGGGAGGAAGAGAGAGAGAGAAACATCTATGTGAGAGAGACACATCGAGTGGTTGCCACCTACATGACCCCAATTGGGGCCAGGGACAAACTGCAACCAAGGTACGTGCCCTTAGCAGGAACCAAACCCGGGACTCTCCAGTCTGCGGGCTGATGCTCTAACCGTTGAGCCAAACCGGACAGGGCTCAATGTAACAGTTTTAACCCAGCAACTTTACTACCCTCTTAATAGGATGAAGACATCCACAACTGTATATTACTTACTGACCACCTTCTTATTCCTAGGAATAATTACAGGAATGTCTTATTAATAATGCTGACTTAATTTGGTTTACAGATGGATTGTATTTCAAAGACAATGGACATTACTAAGCTGGATATGTAGTAACTTCCAAGGCAGATGCAACTGAAAGTTCTTAATTACCTGAAATAAGACCTGCCCAGCAAGCTGAATTAATTGCTCTAACCAGAGCTTGTCAATTGGCCAAAGATCAAATAGGCAATATTTATTCTGACAGTCACCATGCCTTTGGTGTAGCTCATGATTTTGTAATGCTTTGGAAGCAATGGGGCTTCTTAACTTCCTCAGGGCAGTCTATAAAGAATGGAAAACAGGTTGTAGGATTATTAGATATCATACAGCAACCAAGACAATTGGCAATTATCAAAATTCCAGGACATTCTAGGGCTACCACCATGGAAGCAAAAGGAAATCGTTTAGCTGAGACTGTAGATTAACAAGGAGCATTAAGCAGCCAAATTATCCAGATCTGAGAATGTTCTGTTTCCTGCTAAACAGAAGACTATTACAGTTTCAACAGACAGCTACAGAGAACAAAAAGAAGATATGGCAACAAAAAGGGGGAGCCTTAACCCAGACAAACAGATATGGCTTGGACCCAATGGGAAAACTATCTTACCTATTGGGTTCAACTGCCTATGCTTCAACATGTGCATGAACACACTGGAAAAATAATTTCATGGAGTAAACAATATTACTGGAAACCTTCTCCACTGAAACTCATAAAATATATAGATGTTCTATCTGTCCCAAATATAACCCTACAAAATCATTCCATGGATTCCAGGGACACTTCCCACTCCCGTGAGGTCCATTTGAGTTGTGGTAATTCAATTTTATCCAAATACCACCATCTCCAGGATACAACTATGTGTTAATTATGATTTGTTCTCTCATTGGATTAAGGTACTCCCTTGCAAGAGAGTAACAGCCTTAATGGTAGGTAAATTTTTATTGGAAAAATTAATTCCCAGTTGGGGAATTCCTTCTGAGTTACATATTGACTGAGGGACTGCTTTCACTGGGCAAATAATGCAATCAATTTGTAACACTTTGCCTATTCTACAGCATTTTCATTGTGCCTATCACCCCCAGTCCTCTGGAATAGTGGAGCATTCAAATGGTACAATTAAAACGCAACTAGGTAAATTTTTAGAAGCTTTGGCTCCCTTGACCCAAAGCTCTCCTTACAGTGCTCCTCAACCTGAGATCTACCCCTGTTTGTAAACATAGCCTTTCTCCTTATGAAATAGTCACTGGTTGCTCTATGCATCTAGATGAAAGGGCATATGAACCAATCTTATTCAGAGAAGGCATTGTGCATTATTGTCAAGGACTTATTTAACCAGCTAAAAGAAATGAATAAAATAGTAACTGATTCATTTCTTAGTGTGCTGCTGGAAGACACAAAGACTTCAAAGACCATGGCTTACAACCAGATTTGCAGCTATTTTTAACCTTTTTCATCTCATAGCACACATAAACTAATTGCTAAAATTCTGCTGCATGCAAAAAATATGTATCTTTTGCCCATCTAAAAGAAAAAATTGGTATAATTTTGATTTATTCACACCTGATGGCTATCGTTGTATTGACTGTTGCCATTTTTTTATTTGACAATCTAAGGGAAAAGAGGACAGAGCCCCTGATTAAATAGTCAAGTACTGTATGTTTTAAAAATTCTTGCAGCACACTGGTTGGAAATCACTGGTCTATTTGGAGAGATATCAGATAAAGACTCTCTCCAACCTCGTTAGAAGGGACCTTATCAGGTGTTACTAACTAATCCATGTGCTGCTGAACTTAAAGGGGTTAATTCATGGATTCACATTTCTCATCAAAAAAAGGCACCTAACCATGAATGGACTGTCTCTGACACTCACCTTGGCCTACAATAGTCATCAAAGACTCATCTAGAATGAGAAGCCACTGACATCATAAGGAGACAGCTATTCCAAGACATCGACAAGGACTTTGTACCTATGGATTGATGCTGAACTCAGAATCCATTCTGACTGTCTTAATTTGTCTGCTAATGATACTAAATGTAATAAGGGTTATACTTATTCTTTTTGTTTTTCTATATAGTGTTTACTACTGAACATGTAATCTGTTAATAACTATTAATATTCTTTAAGCTTATGTCAGCGATTTTCAATCTTTTTCGTATCATGGCAAACATGAACTACTGAAATTCTGCGGCACACCAAAAATTATACTATATTTTGGCCTATCTGACAAAACAAAGTAGTTAAAATTTTAATTCATTCACACCAGATGAATGGCTATTGTGTTGGCTGCCATTTTTTTTTTTTTAAACCTACAGGAAAAGAAGTCAGTGCCCTGACTAAATAGTCAGGTATTTCATGTTTTAAAAATTCTTGTGCCACACCAGTTGAAAATCACTGGTTTATGTAAATGTAATAGTAGAAAAAGGACACAGATGGCAAAACTCAGATCATAAGAGTTCATAGGATAGCAATAATCCAGAGTGTTTTGTTTTTGTTTTTCTGGAATAAAGGCCATAATACCCAATTGCCTTCCACTTACCTGCCCTTCCTATTTTGGGAAAATTCAGCCACAACTCAGATCACATGGTTACAGTACTGCCCCATCCCCAATAATCAATAAGACATTGTGGATACTGAGACTTCCTAGGAATGAGCCTTTCTTTTGCTGTGAGACCACACTATCCTACCAAAAGGCTGGTCATCAATGCATCCTTTGGATTGATTTATGACCAAAAGGGGGAACTATGGAAAAAAAGTGGGGTTCTATGGAAAGTAATCTCACAGGGTGATCTGATCATATATTCCTAACTGGGTAGGTCATGAGGGGTAGTGAAGCCCCAGGCACGTAACTTTTTAGTAAAAGGTCTAATTGTGCCGTAGGCAAGCCCCATCCATTGTTTCAGTGCATCCAGGTTAACACACCTCTGAAACACAAACCTCAAGAGACCACAAAACCTTTTGAACTATCATGTAATCCAATCCTGCCTTGCTTTCTCCCACCTCCAAGTAATCCTCCTTCTATTCCCTCCTCTCTCCTCAATTTCAAATGCATAAACAAATCTTCAAAACGGTTATTCTAAAGAACATCTGAGATCTTGTTTCCTCCCCTGCCTATACTGTCAGTTTGACTCAAATAAATTCTCTAAAAAATAAAAGTAAAAGAATTTAGCCAAGTTTACAAACAGTATTGGAATTTTTATAGAATTTGAGCTGCTACAGTGCTAAATTTAATCTACTGGCTTTACTGTTTTTCTTTTGTTGTTCTTTTTTGTCTGTTCTGCTCTTTTTTTTTTTTCATTTTAATATACTAAGTTTATAAAAGTTGTTTAAGTATTAAAAATGTATTGCTGCCCTGGCCAGTTTGGCTCAGCGCTTGGAGCGTCAGCCCGCGGACCAAAGAATCCCGGGTTCGGTTCCTGCTAGGGGCATGTACCAAAAAAAAAGTTTTTTTTGCTTGTTAGGTCTGGCATCTAAAATTCTTGAATACAAATGAAATATTAGAGTTACAAATGCAATTTTAAATTAGGGCAATTTAACCAAGTTTTAAATATAGCTGATTAAGGGCATTTAGTTCTTTCATTTGGAGTTATTTGTTATTTTTTAAAAGCGACATGATACTTAAAAACAATATTTTTATGCTGAATTTAAAGGCTTGAAAAACACAAGGTTATAAAAATGTAACTTTAAGAAAGGAACAAATACCAAGATTTCTAAATACAGTTAGGTAATAAAAAGCTATGTAGTCACTTTAATTTGTAAAACAGTTTCATTCAGTAACTAAAATGCTCTATTCCAACATAATAATCAAAATTCTAAACTTCATTTAACTTTGGGGATTGTCCTCTACCTCAGGCTTGGGCTTATTGTAACTGAGAAGCCTGTTGTCATGGACTAGGGAATGTGGTTAACTATTCATTCTTTTTTTTTTTTAAACCTAGAGATAGTACTTCACATTCTTGTTAAACATAGTTTTTGAAAACTATACAAAGTTAATAAAGAACAGAGAAAGAAAAGAAAGAAAAGCAAAAGAGTCTACTTAACCACTTAATTAATCAAGAATAAGACTATCAGGTATTTGAGGGTTCTTTGGGGACAAAAACCCACATCACTGGGACTGTCACCTCAAGTTCCCTTTATCTCTATTTCATCTTCCTTCATTAGAAGGAAGGTCTCTACTCCCTCCTTAGAAACTGGTGTTATTCAGCTTTTCTTTGATGAGGTCCCTTTGCAACCCAAGCCCTACCTTCCAACGTCTACCACAGGTGGCGTTTTTGGGCAGAACCTCAGGAGTCCACAACTGAGCTCACAAACATGCACCAGAACTAGCTCTCTCCCTTTCTCTCATTAGTAAGCAACCTTGGGTAATCTTTTAAAATTCCCTTATCTTGGCCCTTTATATAAACTTGGTATGGATAAGGGGTTTAAGAAATACCAATGAGCCCTGGCTGGTTTGGCTCCGTGGTTGGAATGTTGACCCATGGACCAAAGAGTCATGGATTCGGTTCTGGTCAAAGGTTTGTACCTCAGTTGCAGTTTGTCCCCGGCCCTAGTCAGGGTCATGCTGGAGGCAACAAATCGATGTCTCTCTCTCACGTCAATGTTTCTCTCTCTCTCTCCCCCCCACTCTATCTGAAGATAAATTGAAAAAGGTATCCTTGGGTAAGGATTAAAAAAAAAAGAAATACCAACGAGCTCTGGCTGGTTTGGCTCAGCAGTTAGAGCTCGGCCTACGGACCAAAGAGTCATGGATTCGATTCCAGTCAAGGGCATGTACCTCGGCTGCAGTTGGTTCTCCAGCCCTGGTCAGGGTTGTATGGGAGGCAACCAATCAATGTGTCTCTCTCACATCAATTTTTCTGTTTCTCTCTCTCTCTCTCTCTCCCTTACACTCTATCTGAAGATAAATAGAAAAATATCCTCGGGTAAGAATTAAAAAAGAAAGAAAGAAAGAAATACCAATGAGGTGCTAATCTTAATAAGTGGATGGCATTAAAAAATGTTTATTATTCACGATGACAACTATTATGTTGGATATGGTTGGATATATCAACTTGGCTAGGCTACAGTAGTAATACTAGTATTCTAACACTAATTTAGGAATCGCTATGAGGCCTTTTGTAGACGTAGTTAACACCTATAATCAGATGACTTTAAGTAGCCCGGGCCAGGTTGCTCAGTGGGTTGGAGTGTTGCCTGATATGCCAAGGTTGTGGGTTCGATCTCTATCAGGCCACATACAAGAATCAACCAATGAATGCATAAACAAGTGGAACAGCAAATCAATGTCTCTTTCTCCCCCTTTTTCTCTTTCTCTAAAGTCAATTAAAAAAAAAAAAAAAAAGACGACTTTAAGATTATACTCCATAATGTGAGCAGACCTCATCTAATAAACTAAATCAGCTTATGTACAAAACTGAAGTTACCTACCCTGAGAAAAAATTCTACTTCAAAACTGTACCATCAATCCACCTGGAGAATTTCTAGCCTGTCAGCATACTCTACGAATTTTAGACTCACGAGACCCATAATACTGTAACTCCACTGTCTTTATTTGATATATACACACATACAAGTGTGTGTGTATGTGTATATACACACATACATTTTTCTTCAGCTGGCTGTGACTGAGGTGACTCATGTGTATGTTTATCCTACTTGCTTAGACTGGATATCTAAAAGGGTAGGGGTTTCAGCTTAGAAAGTTAGTTTCTGCTACTTGTGGTCATATCCTCCAGTAGGTTAGCCTGAACAGCGCAGGAAGGCAAGTCCCAGTGTACAAGCTCTTTTCAAGTTTCTGCTTACTGCATTTTTTTTTTTACTATCAAGCAAGCAATATAAACCCAGAATCAATGTAGAAGTTATAAATGGATCAAAATAATAGGATTTTTGAAGATTCTCCAAGGAAGAAGAAAGAGCTAGTTCTCATGCAAGTCATAAGCTCAGTTGTGGAGTCATTTTAGGTTCTGTCCTAAAGAGCTACCTCTAAGGGTAGAGGTTAGAGGAAAGAGGCCGAGCATTATTTACGGGCATAGACAGCAGGAGGCATGATTCACTGAAGGCCATTCCTGTAACAGTGTGACATATCACTGTTCACTGTTAGTCCTGGGAATGCTATAGACTAGATGTTGGTGCCTCCCCCACCCCCAATTCAAGTTAAATCCTAATTAATGTCCAATATGATGGCATGTGGAGGTGGGGCCTTTAGGACATGATTAGATCATGAAGGTAGAGCCCTCATAAGTGGGATTAGTGTCCTTATAAAAAGTGATCCCATGCCCCTTCTGCCATGTGAGGATACAGAGAAAAGACTCCCTCTATGAACCAGGAAGTATGTCCTCACCAGACAATGAATCTGAGGATGCTTTGATCTTGGGCTTACCAGCCTCTAGAACTGTGAGAAAGAAATTCCTGTTGTTTATAAACCACCTAATCTGGAGTACTGTGTTAAAAGCAGCATGAACAGAGTACGGCAGGGAACTTTCAGTTCTTTTTCTAGAACACACAAGCTTATTCACCCAGATGCATATGGTCTGAGTGGATGAGATGATTGGTTTATGTTTGCTTACAAAAACAGGATGTCACTATATATAATGTGTTAAACTTCAACTACAAATGAAGACCACTCAGAAATTACATTATAGACATATAAAACAATATAATTCCTTCATCAAAAGTATACTGATTGTTCATTTTTTCTAATAATACAACAGTATACTCAGAAAAAATAATCCTATAAGAAAATTTTATATAAATCTAGAAAATTTAGCCTGAAAATAAAAGTCTTCTCAGTTCAATACTTTCATGATTACATCTTTTTCAGTAAGAATAATTGACTATATTGTATTACTATTTTATAGTTCATAAAACTTGGGCCTATGTTTGCAAAGTTTGCATTCACAATGACTCCTACTAATCTTTCTGGTCTCCTCAAGTTGAGAGAAGACAAGTACCTGCTTGCTGTACACTAATTACTCTCCATGAGAACAAGGCAAAACAAAACATTTATTATAGACAGTGGATACTAAATTTTTCATGGCCTTGCATTATTTTAGAAGCTGGAAAAGCTAGAACTCATTTTCTTGATAAGGCAGCAAAACACAATGGAAGTAACATCTAAGGAACATAGGTTGATTGATACAGAGAACAGAGATAGCAATTATAAAAGGCAAGTCTTTCTTGTGAAGTGATTTTGGTCAGATAAAACTGCTCATAAAACCACAGAGAAGAAAGAAGACAGGTCCAGGCAAGTGTTCCTGCAATAAAACCATTTATAAAATTGTCACGTAAATCCCTTTTCTTGGTGAAAACTGACTAATGCAGAAAATATGATGAAAAATAATGGTGAGTTACAGCAATTTTCCTCAAAACTATAGAAAGTGACTGAAATAGAACTTGAGTTACATTTTTAGATTCAGAGTTAGTTACAAACATACTACAGTGCATTTGAACCTAGACGATAGCTAATTTATTTCAAGCTCAAAAATATTTTTAGAATGAGTTAAGTAATAAAATTTAAGCAAGATTTTGCAGTTAGGCCCTGGCCGATTTGGCTCAGTGGTTAAAGTGTCGGCCGGAGGTCCAGAGAGACCTGGGTTCGGTTACTGCTAAGGGCACGTACCTCGGTTGCAGTTTGTCCCTGTCCCTGGTTGGGTCGTGCGGGTGGCAGCCACTCAATGTGTCCCTTTCATGTCGATGTTTCTCTGTTTCTCTCTCTCCTCTTATTCTATCTGAGCAAAAAATGGAAAAATGTCCTCAGGTGAAAATAAAAAAAACAGATTTTGGATTTAGTCAGGGCTGTAATTGAGATCTGGGTTACAATCTTAGCTTCCTTAATTATTAGGAAGTTACTTCACTTCTCTGAACCTGTTTTCACTACTGAAAAATGAGAATAAAACTTACCATTAGACTAGATACCTTGAGTTTTTGGTAATATAAATAAGAATAACAGGGTGAGGGAAGTAGAGGGTAGAAAAATCAGTACAGACAAAATAAATACTAAAGGAATAAATATAGCCCTGGCTGGTATGGCTCAGTTGGTTGGGCATCATCCCATGCATGGAAAGGTTGTTGGGTTCAATTCTTGGTCAGCGCACATGCCCGGGTTTTGGGCTCAATACTGGGTAGGGGGTGTGCAGGAGGCAGCAGATCAATGTTTCACTCTCACATTGATGTTTCTCTCTCTCTCTTCTTCTCCATTCCTCTTTCTCTCTAAAAATCAAAAGAAAAATAAATAAGTAGGAATAGTTATAATAAATTTTAAAAGAAGAAAAATAAGGTGCTGCAGTAGAAATAAGCCTTACTATGAAAATATAGTTTCCAGCATAGTACATGGCAGAATATATGCTCAAGAAACATTAGATTTCATCCCTATATTCCCCTGCTGAATTATGAATTAAAAACACTGAACAAGAGGAATTTAATTTGCCCTGGCCGGGTGGTACAGGTTGGTTGGAGCATCGTCCTGTAAACCAAAGGGTTGTGGGTTCGATTCTCAGTCAGAGCATATACCTGGGTTTCAGGTTCAATCCCCAGTCTAGGCACATATGAGAGGCAACTGATCGATGTTTCTCTCTCCCTAAAAATCAATAAAAAAACCACAACCTCCAGTGAGGATTACAAAATAGGCTTATTGCCCTGGCAGGTTTTGCTCAGTGGTTAGAGCATCGGCCTGTGGTCCAGAGAAACCTGGGTTCAGTTTCCGCTAAGGGCACGTACCTCAGTTGCAGTTTGTCCCTGGCCCTGGTTGGGTCGTGCAGGTGGCAGCCACTCAATGTGTACCTTTCACGTCGATGTTTCTCTTTCCCTCTCTTTCCTGCCCACTCTATCTGAACAAAAAATGGAAAAGTGCCCTTGGGCAAGGATAAAAATAAATAAATAAATAATAGGCTTATTATGAAAAACAGAACAAAACAATATTTAATTCAACTTCTTGAGTAGACAACATTATACAATTAGGATATAAAATATTTAATATAATTCGCAACATTGAAGTAGAAGCACTTTATGAATATTGGTTTACAGCATGCCTGAGGAGACAGTATAGCACAAGCAGGTCCTCCAGCCAGAAAGATCCTTGATTAATCGCATTATTTAAATTTGAACAGAGCACTTAACCTCTTCAAGCCTCAGCTTCTTATCTTAGTTGGAAAATGAGGACAATATAAGCACCTATTTCATTGGATTGCTATTAAGATTTAATGACAAAACTACAGTAATTAGATCAGTATGGTATTGGTATAAAAACAAACACATAGATCAATAAAAAGGATAGCACAGAAACAAAATAACCAAGAGTATACAACAAGGAAAGGATAGTCTCTTTAATATACGGTGTTGGAAAACTGGAGAGCCACATGCAGAAGAATGAAAGTGAACTGCTGTCTTACACTACTTACAAAAATCAACTCAAGCCCTGGCCGGTTTGGCTCAGCGGTTAGAGCGTCGGCCTGCGGTCCTGAGAGACCCGGGTTCGGTTCCCACTAAGGGCGTGTACCTCGGTTGCAGTTTGTCCCCGGCCCTGGTCAGTTGTGCGGGTGGCAGCCACTAGATGTGTTCCTTTCACATCGATGTTTCTCTCTCTCTCTCTCTCTCTCTCTCTCTGTTTCTCTCTCTCTCTCCCACTCTACCTGAACAAAAAATGGAAAAATGTCCTCGGGTGAGGATAAAAAAAAAAAAAAATCAACTCAAAATGACTTAAAGAGAAATCATAAAACTCCTAGAAGAAAACAGGGGGTAACCCCTTGACATTCAGTCTTGGTAATAGTTTTTTTGGATTTAAAACCAAAAGCAAATGCAACAAAAGCCAAAATAAACAACTGACTAGGTCAAACTGGAAAGCTTCTGCACAGCGAAAGAAACCATTAACAAAATGAAAACAAAATCTATGGAATAGGAGCAAATATCTGCAAATATGTATTTGATAAGGGGCTAACACTCAAATAACATAAAAAACTCATACAACTCAACAGCAAACCATGCCCTGACCAAACCTAAATAATCCAATTAAATGGGCACAGGAACTGTTTCCAAGACACAAATGGCCAACAGGTAGAGGAAAACAAATCATCAGGGAAATGCAAATCAAAACCACAATGAGATATCACCTTACACCTGTTAGAATGTCTGTCATCAAAAAACAAGAGGTAAGTGTTGGCAATGATGTAGAGAAAAGTAAACCCTGGTGCACTGTTGGTGGAAATGTGAACTGGTGCAGCCACTATGAAAAACAATATGGAGGTTCCTTGAAAAATTCAAAAAAAGAACCACCATATTATCCCTAATTCCACTTCTGGATACCAGAAGGAAATGAAATCATTCTTGAAGAAATATCTGCACCTCTATAGTAATTGCAGACTATTTAAAACAGCCAAGCCATAGACACAACCTAAGTGTCCTGGAGAGAAGAATAAAGAAAATGTGGTGTATATACACAATGGAATATTAATTACTATAAAAAAGAAGGAAATCTTGCCATTTGCATGAATGGACCTTGAGGGTATTAGGCAAAATGAAATAAGTCAGATAGAGAGAGATACAATTGTATGCTCTCACTTACAGGTAGACTCTAAAACAAACAAACAAACAAACAAACAAAAAAACCGAACTCGTAGAAACAAAGGGCAAACTGGTCAAAAGTTCTGAATTTCCAGTTACAAGTTCTGCAGATATAATATAAAGCATAGTTAAAACAAAAAAAATAATGAATAGTATCTGGCATAGTATATTTCAGTAAAGGATTAGGAAAAATGATCAATCCTACAAATCTGATGAATGTCCTTAAACACATATCTCAAAACTCAGTATTTGCTTTTCTTTTACTAAGCCATTTCTACTGAGCTATTTACCAAACCACGTATTTCGGAAAGAAACCTATTATTTACTTTCAGTTGGAAAACTTATCAATTACAGTAAGGAAAAGAAGTGCTTAAAAAAAAAGATAAGATGAGAGACACTAGTCCAAACAGTTGAAAATGACATTTAGAGTTCACGTCTACAGCTTCTTGAGAAAGTGACCTGCGGTGTATCACACTCAGAAAGCAGAGGGATGGGCAAAACTTGCAGGGTAAGTAAGAGTCGTCAACACCAGAGAAGGTGCCTTCACAGACGGGCACCATGCGTAACCAAGTAAATGACAGCAACAGGAATGGTGAATTCCGCACCTAGGCCCCTTCTCTCTCCACCCCAGCAGGTTCCAACCTCTCCCCAAAGCCTTCACTCCAGGCTAACTCCCCACCCGCACAGATAAAGGCGCTACAGGTAAGGCGGGCGGGGTCAGAGGATGCGGTGTCGTCTCAAGTCTTCCCTGGAGCCCAAATGACGCGCGCGGCCCCCTCTCCATTGTACAGAGAGATTCTGACAACAGAAAGGCTAAAACTTTTTTCTTCTTCTTCCAGAGAGCACCACCAGGCCGTAGCGTGCGAACACCTGAAGAGAAAGTGGGGTCTTCCCACCTCTCCAGACTCTGCCCGGGCCCTTCCACCCCAATGGCAGGAGCTTCTCTGAGCCGGGAGCGCTCCCCCAAACTCCTCCCCCGCCGCAGACCGCCCGCCCGGGCTCACCTGGGAGCGGTTCCAGCAGGAGATGGCTTAGGGGAAACTCAGGAGAAGCGGGCCAGCGAGCGACGCCACCGAAGGGACAGTCATGGTCAGCAGCGCAGACGCGATCAGCCGCTGCTGCACCTCCCGCCTCCGGGTGGATCCCCCGCCGCCCCGGTTCGGTCGCAGCCTCCCGCATTGCACGCCGGGAAAGGCCTGCCTCCGCTTCTCAGGGACTTCAGTTCCCAGCATGCACAGGCCTCTAGGAAGAACTGCACGCTGGGATTGGGAGTCCGGCTCCTACGCCTTCCCGTAGTCCGTAACGCAGAGTCCAGGGACATCTCTGGGGATTCCAATCGCAAAGCATCACCCACCGTCGTGAAATGTAGGCTCCTTTTGCATCCGGGACGTTGTTCCAGCCTTGGCTGGGTGGGGAATGGTGTCGCCTAGCAGCCGCCGCCGCTGTGGCTTGCACGGAACAAGTTGGCGGGATCCGCTGTCCGGTTGAAACCGCGCTGGGGAGCCGTCGGGCATAGCTGCGGGGCCGGCTTGGTGAATGCGGTAGATGAGAAACCTCCGCTGGTTGCCAGGCTTGGTGGGTGGATCCTGATGAGCAGGAGCAGCGAATCTCTCCCCACGCAGGTTCTTAAGCCTCAGGGCCCCTGTGCTGTAGTCGAGCTTCCCCGCCCCTTCGTCTTTGGTCGGCAGTCCGTCTATCTGCCTTCCTGCTTCAGCCCTGTTTACTCTGACCCAAATGCACTCATTTCAGTCGTTTCTTTCTGCACTTCCCTCCACCCCACCCCACCCTCGAGTTCCCGCTTCTCCTAGGGGTCAGTTTCAGCCTTCCAAGCACCCCCGCGCGTGGCACCATTAGATAGATGTTCGCGCGCCTTGGTGGTAAAGAGGCGGAGAAGGGGACACACAGTCTCAGCTCTGACCTAGATTAGTTGAGCCAGTGAACTGTCATAGTTTCTTTAGCTAGTACAGTAACTGATGGTTTATGCCAACTGCTGTTCTTTTGATGAAGGCTATTTCACCTACATATTTGTTACACATTTAAGGAGCCACACCGTAGTTACAATAATGTAATCTATAAAAACTAAATTGCTGTTGAAACAATAATGCTGTTTACCTTGAAACTGCTAATAGCTACCTGTTGTGTTACAGAAGATAAAGCATTGTTAAAGAATTCAAGATGCCACCTAATATAAACTGGAAAGATATAGTAAAAGTTGACCCAGATGACCTGCCTCGTCAAGAAGAATTGGCAGATAATTTATTGGTTTCCTTATCTAAGGTACTCAATTGATTATACACACACACACACACACACACACACACACACAACTGTGATTAAGTTAAATTGCGAAATCAGTGAGTGGTTTAACTGGAAAAATGTTCATATTTTGCTTAAGTGTTATAAAATATAAAATTGTTGCTTTTCTGTTTACTTAGGTGGAAGTAAATGAGCTAAAAAGTGAAAGTCAAGAAAATTTGATACACCTTTTCAGAATTACTCAGTCACTAATGAAGGTTTGTATGTAGTAGTTTTAATAACAGCTTTGACTATTAGAGACATTTAAGAATGTTCTTAAATAAGTTAGTACTTTGTAATAGCTAAGTAACCACTAAAAATGTGATATCCAAACATTGCTAGTGTTTGCTCTAAAGTTCCTGAAAGAATATGTAGGGGAAATAGAATGTGTGTGCTTAAAAATGACAGGGAGGTTCTGTGTTAATTATATTAGCATAATCCTGAAATAGAAATAAAAAATGTAGATGGCTACTATAGGGATTTGTTAGAAGGGAAAGAGAGTTTCAGAAGACCTCGTAAAGATCAAAGACTGATATTGTTTTAGGTAAATGGAAGGCAGTTGAAAAATGTTAAGGAGACTCTAGAGCTGGAAGTTACCATAAATAAAAACTGGGAATTGAAAATGTGCCTGTTCTTTACATTTAAGGAGACAAGTGCAGAAAGTTTATAGCAGCTTGCAGAGGAAACAGATGGTGGTATCTGTAGTTTGACAGCTTTGTTAAGAACTTCAGGTTATATTTTAAGCTGTCAGCAATGAGGATTCATTAAAGGTTTTTGAGTCAGAATTGATAGATACAAAAATATGCATTAGGAAGGCTAACCTAGGTAGGTTAATAGGACAAATCGAAGGGAATTGAAGCAGTTTCGACATAACAGTATGAAAAAGATTAGACACAAACGTATGGACTAG